ATACTTTTGTAATTTTTTTTTGTATTTATGTCAATTTTTCAGGCCACCTTAATGTACAGATACATGAACCCTTGAGATGGGGATGGAACTCTGTGGCAGAGTGCTTTTCTAGCATGCATAAAACCTTGATTTGGTCCCCACCCCCCTCAATAGGAACATCTGTATTAATGATGATTGCTAAATTACAGAAAGGTGATAGGTGTTCATATACATATGTAAATATCCATGTATGACATAGGAACCCTTAAAATAAGATTATCTTTTGACAGTTACAACTTTGACCTAAAGTGCAGCATCTCCAAGGCCACCCTGGTGCAGATGGATCTCGGCTTAGGGACCTTACATCTGCATGTGAAAAGCCATAGATGAATAAGTCATCTACTGTCCCCACCATACTTGGAGCTAGAGGAGGCAGAGAGACATTTTTCTCCTTTCTTTTTCTCTTCCCCCCAACTCAGGTTTTCCAGGAGGACTCCAGGTGTGGAATTGGATGATTTTGATGAAGAAGGTGACCCCTCACTAAAGTGGAAGCTCCTCTCTTTAGGAAGAATCTTAAAGCCTATGTGGGCCATGATTCTGGATAAGCCTTTGCTGTTGGGTAAGGCAATTATTTTTATAGCTTCAAAGTTATGCCCTAATATTTGATTATAATACCTGACCTTTGGCATAAGCTCTTGTGAAACCTATGCTACAATAGAAATACTAAAATGTATCTTCATGCCAGAAGGAAAAGAGCAAGTACTAGAGTAGTGACAGTACTGACCAAGATCAGTCAGTCACAGGCAAGATGAGGAGTGGGGTGGAGAGAGAGAAAGGAATTGAAAGCATACACAGATGATGAATAGATGGTACACTGATCATGAGACAGAGATGGATGCATACATAGATATTAGTGATAGGTAGATAATGAATTATATGTAAATGATAGGATGACAGATAATTCATACATAATGATGATAGGTAGATAGAAAATAAATTATAGTCAGATGTTAAATTAATAGATACTAAATATAAAAAAGATACTAAATATATAAATAGATAGATAGATAATGGGTAAATAATAGAAGATGATAGATAATTGACAGATTATGGATGAAAGGGAGATTAAGTTCCATTTTAATTGTATATCACTAAACTTTTTAAAAATTACCTTGATAGGATATTTAAAATACTAAGTATAACAAAAATTTTTTCAATTTTTCTCCAAACTTTCCACCAATTATTTTATTATTTTTATGAGCCTAAATAAAGTTAAAACACAGGAATTACGATGAAAAAAGTAAGTCACAGAAGAAGCAGTGTTTGCTTTTGGGACTCACCTTGAATTTTTAAAAAAAATTTGTTAACTTACTTGCTTTTTTGGTTGGTTCTTTCTTTCTTTCTTTCTTTCTTTCTTTCTTTCTTTCTTTCTTTCTTTATGTTTTTATTTTTTTAATTTTTTTTTTTAAATTTTTCTTTGCAGTGCTGGGGATGGAACCCAGAACCTCCCACATGCCAAGTGAGCACTCTAGCACTAGCCAGCCACATGCCAAGGCCAGGGGTTGTTTATTTTTTAATCCAAATTGAGAAATATAAATTTTTGCTATTCTGAAAATTAGATCCTTTATAAAATGAAGAATTTAAGTTGTTAGGTTATTAAATTTTAAAATAAATATGTATTATTTTGTATAACTAATAACTCAAATGACCAAATTATGTGAACATTTAGATAAACACTAAATTTTAAAATAGTTTTCAGTGTGTTTTCTTATGAGGTATGTTCAATTGATTTGGAAAACACCAAAACTTGATTATGTATTATAGCTGATGTAAAAAAAAATGATAAAGAAAACTAATGTCTACTGAGGAGGGGTTGTTCTTTTGATTTTTATACATTCGCTGACTCCTTTTTTATATAAATATTTTTTTTATTTGTTCTACTTAGTTATATATGACAGTAGAATGCATTTATGCACTTTGATATACATAAATAGGGTATAATTTCTGATTGTTTATGTTGTAGAATCACATCCGTCATGAGTCATATATGTACATAAGGTAATAATGTCTATTTCATTCTACTATCCTTCTTATGACTCCTTTTAATATTGCATTTCCAAATATGTTGTGGGCATTTGCTACTTTGTATAAGAGAGTTGATAAATATAGTTTCATCTCAGAGAACCAGGTAGGGGAGATTGAAGGTAAATTTCTTCAATATAATCTTAAAATATGTTACAGATTTTATGTATTTATATCATTTTTCTTAAATAAGTAGCTGACCTAATTCAAAAACAAATGTAGTTGATCATACTTTCTGCTATCAATATCTTTTTGACAGATTGAACTGATAAATGTACAGGCTTTAGACTTGAAAATCATCACAACTCTCAATCCCACCACTGTTAGATGTTGGCCTGATGGTTATGCTATCTACCAAATGAAACAATAGCAAAATACACATTTTTTTTCAAGTGCATACAGAATATTCATTCAGAGAGATCCTGTGCTGGTTAATAAAATAAGCCTTAAAAATTTTGCATGCAAAATGTTTTCTGATCAAAACAGAATCAAACTAGAAATCAAAAACCAAAAGAAAGAAAGGAAAACCCCCAAACATTTCAAAATTCAACAATCAAATAATCCAGGGGCCAAAGAATAAGTCTCAAGGGAAACAAGAAAAGAGTCTGAACTGAAGGAAAATAAAACTGGGATTCTGGGGAATACAGATCTCAATGATTATCTGAGAGAGGCTGCCCAAGGGTCCTGAGCTCTGGGTGGAGCAAGAGCTTTTCTCTTTATTTTCTCCTGGTTTAAAGAGAGTGTTTTAAACCTCCATGTTAGCCCCAATCATCTTGGGCGTAACAGAGAAGTTTATGAATATTAGAAGTTTAGGAATATTGGGTTTGCTCCTTACAAATGCACTTCATGGGATACTTCAGGCAGCCACGCATAAATGCCACTGCTCTGCAGGAACTGGCTGAATATCAATGAGAAGACAAGAGTGATCACGTGGGCCTGCTGTTTGGCTGGGCTGACTCTGACATCATAACCTGTCTTCTGAAAGCAGTCTGGGACCTTTTTATAGAAGTCAAACAGATAAAGCAAATTCTAGAGATGTGCTAGGGACCGGAGGAAAAAAATGTGCGTTGTTTTCTTCCAGTTGTGGTCACCAGTGGATAAACTGTGTCTCTAGATCCCTTGCTTCATATTTCCCAAAAGTAAGTTCGTCTTGTTTTTGATATTTTTGTTTTGTTTTGTGGTTTCTTGTTTTTTTTTTTTTTTTGCCTTGGGGATTTTCTTTTTTTCCTTCTTTTTATCTTGTCACAGAATAATAAGGTTTTGTGAACTGAAGGTTAAATATCTGTAGAGAAATTAATTTGAAAATTAATGGGCTATTTTGAAGTGCTTTGGTATCTGGAGCTTAATATTAGATAGGTAAAACAATTGAATTAAAATGTGAGGTTTTAACAAGGATGCACTTATGGTATTATTCTAAACCAGAAACTGAGAGTAAGAATAAGTGGAGATTGGCTAACAAGTTGATTATGAAGAACTTAAAAATCTTAAGAACTGACTTGGAAGCCTGAGTTGTATTTGCAGTTATAGTTTTTTCACTTTTATTGCACAGTAATTGTGTTTTTCTGACTTGAAGACTGTTTACCAAGAACATTTACAGAAATCTTTTTTATTATCCCTTTCTCTCATTCTCAGGCTCTAAGAATTTTAGAAACCTGAGAAGCTTTCCAGAATCTTTTCCTCTTTGAATATCATGAGTTGAATCAGAATGTGAAATATGTAGCTTTTCCTTCTCACAGCACTGCTTTGAATGTGCATGGTTTGTGGTAGACAGATGATACATGCTTCTGTAGCATAAACATTTTGTTTTGAATTTAAAAACAGCATCAAAAGATAAAAGTCAAGTCATTCCAGTTGGAAACTATTTGCCATATGCATATCAAGGAATTCATGTTATCAGTCTTCTTACGAACTGAAGAACATACACCAGTTGGGGAGAAATAAAGTTGTAATACTAACAGTGGAAGATCGAAGGGGTGGGGGAGGGATTGATGGCTCCTTGCTACCCAGGGCTATGGCTGATTCCACAGCCAGAAGATCTCACTCTGAGCCATCTCACTGTCCCCTACAGCTCTGCACGACCCCCTTCTAAGTGCCCATTCATAATTCTCTGCACTAAGAATGCCCATGGGGAGCCTCAGCACCCTCTCATGGAGCAACCTGACCTACTGCTATTTCATTCTTGAAATTTCCTTTCCCTCCTTCTCTCTTTCCACGGGCTTCCTGACCTCTTTTCTTCAACCGATAGACTTGCTTCCAGCCTCAGTGAACAGCCTGTGTAGTTTTCCTCTCTGGCAATATCCTCTGAGCCTGCCTTGCCCAACGGGATTGCCTTTGGAACTGGCCCCTGAACTCCTCACCCCAGCTTTGATTAGGAAACAGCAGCACCCCGTGTGTGATCGATCCTGTCCCATGGCTGGGACAGGGGCTTCAGGTGGGCTCACACCCACTCCTCGTCAATTATGGACCAGTTCACAGCAGCCCTGTGTGTCCATGGGGTCTGCAGAGAGGGAGGAGACCACTTGCTTCAGAAGTCAGGACTTAAGAGCCGGCTGCCAATCTTCGCCATGGAGCTGCTGGCTCTGTGGTAGAAGTCCTGACCCAACCTTCCAAGTCATATTCCTGGCATGCTTCCCAGAAAACTGGTAAGCATTCCAGAATCTCTTTATTTTCTATAATGTAGCTTAGACGTCCTCATTCCTCCCACAGGAAAGACCTTACAAAAGCACTTGTGTTCCACAGTTTTCAGGGGAGGCCCAGCAAATCGTATTTGTATAGTGTTGGTTAACTGGGGCTATGGAGAGACGTGGCAATAGTGTTAGCCTCTGAGGAATTTTGTATCCCTGCTACAATAAAATGTAGATATATATTCCTCTACTAATTCACACACACACACACACACACACACACACACACACACACACTCCTCTACATGTTCTTTACTCAATGTCAAATATCATAAAACTGATTTGCTTCTTTATTAGAGGAAAGTTCTGGTCTACTGCTATTCTAATCCTTAGAGGACAAGGCAGTATCCATAGAAGAGTAATGCTGCTCCTTGCAGGCAATTCTAGGTAAAGTATTTAGGATGTTTCATAGAGAACTAACACTACAGAGGACAAAGGTTGGTGAATTCTTAATCCAGCAGAGGCCAACCCAAGCCCAATTGAGGGGAAATGCTTACCCTCTACCTCAAACACAGTCCCAAACATATCACTCTCTATTGTCGGAAAAATTATTTCACTATGTACTTTAAGTTAAAAATTGAATGTATTTCTAAGTAAGAACGACTAGAATGATTGGGTTGGAACTTGGCAGCAAATTAAAATATCTAGACAATATTTGTAAGAAGACAGAGATAGTAAAAGATGTTAAGCTTTCATAAAATAAGTCATGGTTCCCTGGGAAACTCCAAAATTTAAGAGTGACCATTAAAGAACTGTAAATACCTTTCATATCTTTGGTATAGGAGAGAAAAGAAGAAATTTTTACCAATTTAAAAAGAATTGATAAGGTATGAAGATAGAACTAAAAGCAAAGACAGCATAGGTTTAATAGGAAAATAAAACACAATGCATGATCATCCCAAACAAAAATGCACGCATAACATAATTCACTTCATAAAATATAGTTACCAGTTTAGATTTCTAAACATTGAAGCAGTTATAAAATTTTCATACTTAGGCGAATATTTAGAAATTTACCCCAGGGTTAAGAAATTGTTAATGATTTATTAGACAAATGTTAATCTCAAGAAAGTAGTGACTCCATGTTACCAGAAATAGAAAGAACCTTCCTTGAAACATGAGCTATAGAGCCATCTTTTATACACCCAACCACTTAGCCTTTAAAGTCACATGCTAAAAATCAGCAAAGGTATAATGAGAATGCCAAACCTGTCACTAAAGTGAGGAATTAAAATAAAACTCAATCATGAAGTCATCGACCAAGTAAATCTACACAAAGGATATGGCCCTAGAATTGTCGAGATAATTTTGAAGAGAACAAGGAGAAAGACCTTTCCTTGTACTTCAAAAGGCTTATTATGGAGCTCTAGTTACTAGACTGTACGTAAGACATACACATAGAGATTAATTGAAAGAGTAGACTACTTCAAAATGCATATGCATGTAGATGTATAAATACACATATACATATACATCTGGTATTTGAGAGAATAGACACAACAATTAAGAAAGGAGAAACCATCAAGTAACTGGTGTCTGGACAACTTGCCTGACAATTACAGAAGAAAAGAAGAACAACAGCATGGTAGGTAATTGTCTTACATCTTATTCACAAATAAACTTGGATTAAAGAGGTAACTATAACGAAAAAATCTTTGAAACTATTAGGAATATGTATTTGTAACTTCCCCAAAAGGAAATACTTTCTAAACTGGACATACACAGGAAATATAAAATCAGAGAGAAAAGTTGTTAAATTTGACTAAAACAAAATTAAAATTTGCTTATGATAAAATATACACTGATTTTGGATTGGCAAAGCTAATGAACTAGCAACAAATAAGCATCTGGAATAATAATGGACTAAAAAAAAAAAAAGCCAAACAGAATACAGAAAAAGCTATTTACAGAAGAAATCTAAATAGTCATTCAACATGAAAAATTTCTATGAAAAACAAAATAATACAATTTCAAATAATGAGACACCCTACACACTCTTCAGATTCACAAACATATGTTTTTGCTTAGAATGGGTCTGGGAGTTATAGATTTTTGTTTTCTGTTGCTGTTCTACCCTCAACTTTCTCTGGCCCTGTCCACCTGAGCCACAAAGGGGATCTCTCTCCATTCTTTCACCCCAACCCCATCAATAAGCCACTGTGGGTTTTGCTCAGTTCAGTGCAAATACAGGTTGAGGGATTGTAGACTTCTTGCTCCAGCCTCTGTATTGAACCCAGCACAAAGGACTCACACGTGGGTGGGGCTTTCTCAGCATTTCTCTTTCCCTATTTACCAGCTCACTCCCATCTGTATTTACATGAAGGTCTGGTACCTCCTTCAGTGGTTGCGTAACTCTCTGGCTTTAAATCCCTGTGGATTTAAAGCAAACCTCTGCAGCAAACATACAGCAAACCTCTGCAGCAAACATACAGCAAACCTCTGCAGCAACATATCTTTGCTTGGAAATGAGGACAGGGAGTTTCCAGGAAGTAATCTGTTCACGACAGGTTCATGCACAAAAGAGTAAGTCTCCCATGTGGTGGTGTTTAAATGGTGGACCCTAAGAATAGGGGGTCTAGGGGGAGGTAATTAGGCTATTGGGGACATTGTTTGGGGAAGGGATTAATGCTGATCTTGCAGAGTAAGTTGGTTCTCAGGAAAGCAGGTTGTAAATCAAGATCACCTCATAAGCTTGACCCCTTCTGCAGGCAGTTGATTCTCTTTCCATTCTTACCCCATGCTGTGATGCCACCAAGGGACCATTTCCAGGACACCAGTACCATGCTGTTTGGATCCTCTGGCCCTCAGAACTGTGATCCAAATAAACCTCTTTATAAAATACCCAGCCTGAGTATTTTGTTATAGCAACAGAAAACAGACTAAGGAAAGTCCTCTAGGGACAAAACTGAACATCATGCCAGCTAGCAAAACTGGTAATTTCAAGAGGCCATATCCATCTTCACAGGGAAAACTATGAAAGGCGAATTTGGAATTGAGAAGTCATAAGTCAGTAACTGGCCAAGTGCCTCACAAATCCATGATGGAGCAGAGCCTGGAAGCAGGGAGAAGGTGGCATGGGAGTAATAACATGCTAACTCAGGAACACCAAGACTGTAGCAATCGTACGGGATATTGGAGTTACCAGGCTGCTCCCTTTCTGTTTGCAGGCTATTTGTTCCTGTTATGAACTCACATTTACTCATTTTTTTCCCCTTCTTTCTCATTGAACAGGGCAACATGGGTAAAAGAAAGATAAGCGTGTGTCAACAAACTTGGGCTTTATTACATAAGAACATTCTTAAAAAGTGGAGAATGAAAAGAGAGCCACTAATGGTATGATTCGTTATCTGTGCCACTTTGTATTTAAAATAGGAAGATGTATATTAACTGAGAGGCATTTATGCTTTTGTTTTATATTTCCCCTACCAAAAATAAAATGAAAAACCTTTATAAAGCAGAAGAATCCGTTTTTAAGACTCTAAATCTACCTGAAGACATTTAAATTGGCAAAAACCTATAAATTGAGGCCTAAAAGCACAGAGGCTGGCCAGAAACTGAGAATTCAATAAATGTTTTAAAAGTCAATAATTATTCTTCTTACTAGTGTTCCCCACTCATTCATAAGTAGTGATATTCTAAAGACACAGCAAACAAATCAACCCACAGGTAACTGGAATTTTTTTCTTTAAAAAAAAAAATTCATTTTCTTCAAAAGTAGTACAAAGTTTGGAAATGTATAAGTGCCAAGAAGAAAATTACTTTTTAATGGTACCATGTAATGAAAAGCCTGGTTGAACTTTGGTATCTTTCATCAGTTTCATAGAGCAAGGTAGCATATTGAATTAAATGGGAATTATACTGTATGTGCATAGTAAAATCTTTTTAAAATTATGCATTTTGGAAATATGGTGATTCTTAATGGGAATCTGCAAGTGACCAGGATTTATAACTAATTACTGAAATAGTGTTCCTCGTTATCACTCTGTTGAATTGCCAATGTCTGAAACTTGGCATATCATCCCTATAGCAATGCTCTGGGTCTCTTCAACACAGAGACTTTCAGCAGAATCAAATACATCAATGAGTGCGTTACCAAAGTAACACTAGCTGACAATAATTTAAAGTGGCGTGTCCTGTTGCGTTTCATTTCTCATGATCAGTCCTTTAGCACTGGTACTGATGCTCAAGCCATTTGAATTACTATTAGTAGTTCATTGAAATTACTAGGTTTGTTTTATACATATTTTAAATGGTTCATATTGCAAGATGTGTTGAAATTTTAAAAAGGAACAAAGGGATGAATTGTATGACAAATGACTATGGATGAATAATTTGAAATCACAATTTTCTCTCCTCATTCTCTGGCTGTGTAGGAATGGATGAACGCGTTGCTCCTCCTACTTTGTTTGTACTTCTATCCTATTGGTCATCAAGTTAAAGACTTTTCTTTATGGCCTCCTGTGAACCTCGGAAGGGTAGATTCATTTAATGAATCCAAATTTGCAATTGAATACATGCCTGTCACCAATGTAACCCAACAGATAATGAGCAAAGTAGCTATCACCTCCTTCATGACAGGTGAGTTGTCTAGCAATCCACAAGGAATATGTGACATCAAAATCCATGCAGATGCAGGCATTTAATTTACATTTCAGCTGATAAAATTGTGTCAATTATCAAAATTGCTAAAATGGGAAACTGAACATACTTCTCCTTTGTTGGAAATAAAGGATTCGTTTAAGTTATGTCAACGTAGGCACTCTACATATTTTGAAAAATTCCCTCTTTTTTTTTAATTTCTTCACCTTACTGTCAGGATTTGTACAGGAAAATAACTATATTTATTTCCAGTATCAACAAGTGCCTAATTGTATACCTACATACAATTTTAGATTTATTAGAATACTAATTATTCTACAAATAGTTTAATTGGTATAGTATACGTTATGTTGATGAAATTGGCTCAATAATCACAACATGTGGGAAAAAATAACTAAATTTTATGTGTTTCTTCTGATGGTATCTAAATGAAACTTTAGAAACATCTTCCCCCAACAATTTAGATTTCATGACTCTGCCAAAGTCAATACATGATTTCATTTTATTTTCATAAAGAACTCTAGTAAAAGCTATTGAACATGACATCTCGAAGGTGAGTCTCCCGGTAATTTACTAATAACATCGCTTTCTTGTAATGGCAGGTAAAGAAGTCATGGGACTATCAGATGAAGAAAGCATTAAAGAATTGAAAGCAGATTATCATGAGGAAATAGTAAGAGTCATCTTTACAAACACATACTCATATCATCTGAAATTCTTGGAACAAAGAATCCCGATCAGTAAGGAACACAGGGACCATACAGGTAACTTTCCAGCCATATGATCACACTGATCACTATTTCATTTATGTTTGAGCCATTCATAGAAACAGATGTTAATATGTCAAGTTAGATCATCTCTATCATGGTGATGTCCATGTCATTCTACACATTCAAAAAATGTGCTTTCATCTTTGAGTAAACTAACATATTCAATATATGATCACTATATATAGCCATATACATATATCCAGACATAACTTACGTGTATACATATGTACATATAAACATACATTATCTGTGATATGTAGCTATAATATATGGTTGTTAAGGTAAAATAAAATTTATGGATAAAATAGAACAAACTTCCGTTTAAATGCTTAAGTAAATCCATATGAAAGTAAGAGCAATTCTCGAAGGTCTAAAATGGAGAGGGCACCAAACTCAGTGTTAATTGGTTATTATTGGTGCTATATGACTTTGCCAAGCTCAGCAACCAAGAGATTTGGGTTTTAGTAGCTATGTGGGAACAGAGGAGAAGATCTTGGGTTTGTGTGAGATGAAGTTTCCTGAATTAATTTGGAATCTGGAGAGCTGTGTACTCAGCAAGAGTTCACAAAAAAAGAGACACCTCTTGACAATAAAGAATAAAATGAAGTTTGTTGTTCTCCCTTTGGGCTCTGAAATAATACAAAGAGAATTCTTAAGAAAATCATAGCTTTCAGTCACCTTCTCCTGAGTCTCGAGTTCTTCCTTAATTTGAGAAGCTAATCTGAAAAATCTCAACTAAAAAATATAAAGTACTCTTAGGATAGTCAGACGCTGGGGTGCCTGACAGAGGATATTATAAATTTTCTCTAGAAAAATACGACCTCAACTCAGACAGCAGAGACAAAATATCTCTAAATGTAAATTTACTCTCCAATATGTAAAAACAAGGCACCACGAGAGTCAAGAGAATTGCCCAAGCTGAATATATATATGTATATGTATATATATTCCACTGGTAAATATACATATATATTTACCAGTGGAATATAAAACTGAGAATATAAAATAAGCAAGTATTCTAAGGAATAATAGACTTTTTCAGAGAAGTTGACATATTCACTCTAAAATTTGCTTTTTAAAAGGCAAATTTAAATATCAAAATCAAAGTATCCAAGCTACTCATTTTTAAAAATGTAATAAGAAATTAAGACAGTATGTTAGTGCCACAGATGAATAGGCCAATGACAGAGAAGAGAGAATCTTGGAAAATTCTCACATAAACATGGACACTCACATATGACTGAGAGGACATTACCAATTAATGCTGAGAACTGCAGGGAAAATTGTCTCTCCATAAAGAACAAAATAAAATTATCTCATACAGAACAACCAATTTTAGGTAAAAAAATTTTAAAAGTCCTGCAAAACTTTTGGAAGTCAGTATAAGAACATACTTTTATAACTATTGGATAGGAAGACTTTCTTGCAAAATGAAAAATATATAAACTACAAAATAAAAGATAGATATATTCAGCTAGATAAAAATCTAGGAATTCTTATTATCCAAAGATACTGTATAGATAGTGAGAATTTGAGGTAGAATTGAAAAAAGATATTGATAACAAATAAAACTAGCAAAAGATGATTTCAGAATACATAAAGATTTTCTTTGAATAAATAAGAAAAAGACCTCAAAATAGGACATTATTGAAAGACATAGCAGGTATTTCACAAAACATGAAACACAGATCAAGATAAAGCACGTGGAGAGATTTCTACCTGCATTAGCAATCAGAAAACTGTATTTTGAAACCACTTGTTATATCATTTCACATTCATTAGATTTGCAAAAACTAACAAATAATACAAAGTATTGACTAGGATATGTAGAAAAGAGAATGCCTATCCAGTATCATATAATTTTCTAAATTCTGCAAAAATTGAATAATATATAACCCATCATCATAAAAATCTTTTTTAGTAAAACTCTCATCCCTACATTAAAGACTGGTAGCCTGTTCTCTCCTTCCTGAGGGCTTAGGAAGCTCTCAATGAAAAGCCAGACTCAAGGCACTTTAAAAGCAAGTGTGGATTTCTCATCTTTCTTCACCTGCTTCTACAAGCAGAATGAGTCACATACAATAGTGCAGAAAACTCATTTCATTTGACATCCTTAGTTGAATGTGGAATAGAATATCCCTCAACCTCTGACCAAAGAACCTTGCTGAACTTGTAGCCTGAGTAAGAAATAAGCTTTTGTGGTGATAAATTGAGGTTTAAAGGTAATTTGTTACTATAGTATATCATAGACTATCCTGACTGATACTCACACATTCATGATAAAATATAAAAGAATTCTTCAAAAAATTATAGCTTTCAGTCTCCTTCTTCTGGGTGAAAAACAATTTTAGATTTTTTAATCGGGGTTGGGGACAAGAGTAGAAACAATTAGCTTAGATACTTTTATTTTGATATTTAAATTTGCCTTTTAAAAAGCAAATTTTAGATTTTTTAATGGAGGCTGGTGACAACAGTAAAAAGAGAAAAAGAACTAACCCAAATATCAGGAGAGTAGATAAATAAATTGACTGGTTCACATTTCTACAATGGGATTCCATAATCATAAGAAGAAATCAATAGGACTATTTAGACAGATTTCAAAGTTATTAAACATAACAACTGAAGTAAGGTGCAGAATAATGAATATAATGAGATCTATGGATTAAATAGAGTTTATGTTTAAAAATCACTTATATAGTTTAGGGTTACACAGTAAAAGCCTAAAGACATATGTAAACATGAAGTTCAGAAACATCACTAGCTATTTCAAGGATTGGTGCTTAGGAAAGAACATTTAGACAGTATGTAGAGGAGTTCAACTGTATTTGTAATGATTTATTTTTAAAATTTGGTGATAAGTGCATGTGTGTCTATTTTTATATTATTTGTAGATCTGAAATATTTCAAAATAATTTTTAAATATTTAAAATCTTAATGCAATATGCATTTGATTCCTATATTTAACTTTAGTTAATCTTATTAAAGAGTATCACCTTAATATAATTTCATTAAATATTATAAATATATTCAACATATTATACATAGTTCATATATAAAATAGCTACATTAAATATATTAATATCAATGGACTGGTAGATCTTCTTTTTTTAATAAATAAACTTTTCTCTTCAAAAGACATTCTGATTGACATGATTTAAGCACAGTGAGTTTCCTTATTCAAACTTCCATTTGGCCCTTTATGCTGTGTTGTACCCCATGTTAGAACAAGCTGTATTTCAATGTTTCTCAATGCATACTAGAAATCCTGTTTTGAAGAACATTGTTATGGTTTAGATATGAGGTGTGCTCCAGAAGTTTACATGGAATACAATGCAAAAAAAAAAAAAAAAGAGGTGAAATAATGGGGTTATGAGAGCTTTAAACTAATCAATGCATTGTTCCACTTGAATGGATGAACTTGATGGTGTTTGTAGGCAGGTAGGGTGTAGCTGGAGGAGGTACATCACTGGCAGCCTTTGGGGTATACATTTTGTCCGAGGTGAGTAGAACTCTCTCTGTTTCCTGATTACCATGTCCTAGGCTGCTTTCCTCCACCCTGCCCTTCTGCCATCACGTTCTTTCTCATCTCAGGCCCCAGGCTGCAGAGTCAGCTGTCAGAGCTCTGAAACCATGAACATCAAATTTCATTCTTGTGAGGTCTTTTGGTCACAGTGGTGAAAAAGCTGACTAAAACTAATATCAAAAAGATATTGTTTTCACAATGCAGAAATAGAAGAGTTCCACAAAATTCTTGATTGGCAGAGAAGCACAAAAGGTAGTATGAGAAAGATGACTACAGGCAGAACGTTCCCCAAGACAGCTCTGCCTGACTCTTTTGGAGAATCATTACTATAACCTATGTTTTCATGTTTTTGAGCCAAAATAAATCCATTTGAATTATGGGCCACTGAAAAGCCCATTTCCTGTGATCAGATTGGTATAATTCCAGTGATGATTTTTTGTCTTTTTTAATCACAAAGCTCATTGTTTTGAAGAAGATGAAGATGTTGACTGTTACATGTCAATATTCTGGAAGGAAGGTTTTGTGGCTCTTCAAGCTGCCATTAATGCTGCTATTATAGAAGTGAGTACAAAATGTTCAATAAAAACTAATTTTCCATGCAAACTAATTATACCAGAGGTACTAGAAGTCTCATGGAAGGAAATATAAATGGCTAGCCCTGTTCTTTCATTTACTCATTTGTATCTTTACAACACAGACTACTAAATTTGCTGTATGTCGTTAGGAAATAAGGCATACAGAGAAGAAATGTTGTCAGAAAACCAGGGATATAATAAGGACATCAATAGAACAGAAGTAGGTGATCATGGGCATATCAAAAAGTCCTTGTAAACAAACAAGCAAGTTTCCCAGCCTATAAAGCTGTGGAAAGAGTCTCATTAAAATGGCAATTAAACTAGAAGCTTGAGGTGAGGGGTTTGTCAAATCTAAGATCAGAAAAGGCATTGCAAAGAAATCATGAAGTGACATTGGGTGGGGAGATTGTCAAACACAGTAACGCTAAGAATTCTGGAAAGCCTGGAATCCAAAATCCAGGTGGGCCAGTGCAGTACATGGATGTGGAAATGTAGGCCAGCATCAGATCCTAGAAGGATTGCACATTTCTAGGAAAAGAGATGATAAAAACAGAGACACGAAACCCCAGCACGTCATTCAGTGTGGAAATTTTATTTATTATTATCTTTCTTCAGACCACAACAAATCATTCAGTCATGGAGGAACTTATGTCAGTTACTGGAAAATACATGAAGATACAGCCCTTTATTAGTCAAGGAGGAATCGCAACTGATTTTTTCATTTTCTTCTGCATCATCTCCTTTTCCCCATTCATTTACTATGCATCCATCAATGTCACGAGGGAGAGGAAAAGGATGAAGGCCTTGATGACCATGATGGGCCTGCAGGATTCAGCGTTCTGGTGAGCTGGCTGTAGCACAGTGTTCTCAATGGAGAATCTCGAGAAAAGTGGGCATCTGCAATGTATCTTTATTAAAACCTAATGATTTTCTAACTTTTCCCTTTATCCTCTGAATGCAATAAGTCACCCTTGCTATAATGTTTGCCAGGATGAGACCAAATGTGACTGTGATTCTCTCGGGTTTAGTTTGCCGGGCAGTTGTGATAATGGAATGGCTAAGACAGAGGTCAGCATCTCTGCCAGATGGAGGTGGAATTCCAGCTAGCACAGGACTGCAAGGGCAGAAGTCAAAGCTTGAGTAATTCCAAGAATGGACAAGGTTCTGTGTGAGACCTCGAGAGTAATTAACTGACAGGGCATGGAGAAGGACGAAAGTACCAGTGAAGCGAGGGAGATGGGCGGATTGGGCATATTGTAATCAATTAAGAGTTAAGAGTTCCTCCTGTGCTCAAATCCTGAAAATCAGTATTGACCTCTTTACTGAATTAATATTAGAGGAAATTATAGCAGAGCAGTGAAATCTGGAGATTCTAGAGCCAACACTTGGATCTGAGACTGTTAACATATTTGTTCTATGGGTTCTCTGTCAATAACATGAGTAAAACATAGAAGTGTCATTTCTGCATTCAGCTGTGGTGAGAAGCAGATGATTTACTATTTGATAAGTTTTTAAAACACTGCCCAATACATAATAATTGCTCTATGTGCTAGCTATTATTGTGTTGGTCTTACAGCTATCTTTGATTTTTTTAAAGTATCTTTATTTAATTATACTCTCCAAAGAAGACTGTAAAACAAGATAAAGAAATTGATAAGAAAGGCATAGTGGACTATTCTGAGACAAAGTAAATGGTATGATTTTTAGCACTCTATCTCACTGGAAAATGAGTGGAATTAAGGGCAAGTATGTAGACTACTTGATGTATTCATGAAGAGAAAGGTAAAAAGAGCTTTTGGTAAGAGAAGTGACAGAATTTCACATGAGGAGTAATTTCTTATCTCCAAGGAAATTTATGAAGCTTCTCACCCTTTAAGCCTCTAGAGAAAAAGATATCAGGGATTCACAAAGGTGCTACCATGAACTAAGACGATGACCCACATAACCTCACCTCACCAAGTTCTCACCATAGTATAGTTTTCTATTTTCAGAGGAATAAAAGGGAGAAAAATTGGTTACAGAGTTTTCCCACAGTCACAGGGTAAGAAAGTCCAAAATGAAATGTTGCAACCCAAATCCATCAAACTTGAAACCTAATTATTTCTTTTTTGTTTATAATGATGTGTGTGCATGTGTGTTTCTGAAATTATTTTTCAGAAAAAGAGTATTCTTAATTCCTTATGAATTCTGTTTAAAAAGTTTTAGTTTGTAATAGCATATCCTAGAATAGGCAATAAATACCTGCTGCACAACAGCATGGATGTATGAATGAATGAGTGGGCAAAGGAACAATGAAAAATTACAGTACAATCCTTGGTGGGTCCTTCTTTTCAACTGAACACTAAGTACTAAAACACAGCTCTGTTTTTACACCAGGCTCTCCTGGGGTTTGCTCTATGCTGGCTTCATCTTCATTATGGCCCTTTTCTTGGCACTTATTATAAAATCTACCCAGTTTTTTATTCTGACCAACTTCCTGGTGGTTTTCACCCTCTTTCTCCTTTATGGATTGTCACTGGTGAGTTGATGAATTAAATTTTTCCCTATCTCTTGCCTTAAAAATCAAACTGTTGGTTTCAGATTAACTTATTTAGTCTACATATCTGTTTTCTGCCTGTTCCAGTTGCATGCAAAAATCTATAGGTGGGTACAATTGGATTAGTAATGCTTTGTGATGTCAATTATTAATACAATTGGCAAAATAATAGTTTCACTCATTACATGCAAACTAATAATAGAACTAAAATGTGGTATGTAAAATCCCTCCTGTTATCATGCCACTAATAATTCCTGGAGGGACCTTACCCAGTTGGGTCTTCTCTTGTTTAGATTGCTCTGGCTTTCCTGATGAGCGTCGTGGTGAAGAAGTCTTTCCTCACTAGCCTAGTGGTGTTCCTTCTTACTGTCTTCTGGGGGAGCCTTGGATTCACAGCGTTGTACAGATATCTCCCAGTGTCTTTGGAGTGGATTTTCAGTTTTCTTAGCCCGTTTGCTTTCACCCTTGGAATGTCCCAGGTAAGAAGGCATCTAATGATCGATGAGAAGCATTTTTCTTTTCTGGAAGAATCTGTAATAAAAAAAAAAAAAGAAGAAGAAGAAGAAGAAGAATCTGTAATAGTTTTTATACTTCAACATGGTGAAATTTAAAACCCTCCTGTAGACTTTTTGATTTTGCAAAGCTGAACTTTTAAAAGCTTTGAAAGTACTTAGCCCAGCTAAAGAAGCCTAAACCAAAGGCAGGGGGTGAATGATCAATACAAAATCCTTTGGAGACCATATAAAGCACTTTCTTTGGCTATTAAATACATATTTGATGTTATGAACACCATGTTGTGAGCTCTAGTCACATTACATACATAGGGCCCCAAGGCTGCTTCCTCCCCTCTAAGGTCACTTTGTGCCCATGGATCCACATCTCCCCATCCCCTCCTCCCTAGACCCTCCCTGGCTTCTGGTGACCACTCTTCTGCTCTCTATTTCTGTGGCTTCAGCTTCTGTTCATATTTTGATTTAGCAATTTAAGACAACATACACCATCAAGCTAAAAAAAAAAACCTTGAAAAATAAATTTTTTCTTTTATTTTATTGAACTCATGTTGCCTTCCTTCCAAATAAATGGTGATGCCAATCATGAAATATCTGGGTTTTAGTGCTTAAGAAAAGAATGGTTAATAATAAAGCAATTCTTCATTAGAATATCATAGACCCTACTGGGTTGTTGTTTGTTTGTTTGTTTGTTTTTAACATATCACTACTATTTTTTTCCAGAATAAAAATTATTTGTTATGCAGCCATTTTTCAGGACTCACCCCTCTTTTGACTTTGTCTTATTTGGTAAAAGTCTAAATTTAGCTCTAGTGCCATCATTTGCCATGTTTCCCTACCTTCTCCTAATGCTCCAATTTTATTTAGAACACACTTTCCTCACCACAGTTGTTAACACTTGTTACAGTTTCTCAACTGTCCATGCCTTCTGATACATTTGACAACCATCAAGTAGGCCATCTCCTTGTTTAAATTTCTATTTCCAGGAGGAGACAATAAGTAGCCATCTTATTCTTGTTATTTAAATTATTTAAAATGTATCACAAATGTAACTTATCTTTTTTTTTTAATTTTCAGCTTTTACACTTGGATTATGACGTAAATTCTAATGTATTTCTTGATGCACCGGTTGGCTCCAATCTAATTATAGCAACACATTTCATGTTGGCCTTTGACACTTTCCTCTATCTGGCACTCATGATGTACTTTGAAAAAATTTTGCCAAGTGAGTGGTTATGATTAAAATCAAACATCATTTGAGTAAAGTTCTTTCCTAGAACAGATTTCCTAATATGTGTATGATTTATATGTTACAAACCACTTTGCTGCTTTTGTATAGCTAGTTAGCATGGCAGTTCAGAAACACACAAATGTAGATTTTTTTTTTTAATTGTAGTTCTGGGCCTCATGTATACTAGGTAAGCGTTTGTTAATGAACTGCACCCCCAGCAAATTATAAATTTGCTTCAGAGGAAAGTTATTGTCTAGGAATGAGATAAAACAGGAATATAAAGTTGCTTTCTAAAGTTCCACTGTTGAGTCTGAATAATTTTTTTTTTGCTCCATTCTTTCCCTTTCTCACAAATGTGTTGTTTTGTTAAGTCCCATTTTATCTTAGAATATTCGTTTTATTTTTCCAGTAGTCATTTCCCAATGTCTTCTTCGTTTGTTAATAAAATGACACAGAATTCAACAGGCCCAGAATCATTTGCATTTTGATTCTAATATCTGGCTTTATTAGGGTTAATTGAACATTTATTAAAATTCCTCCTGAAAACTTTTTAATTTGTTTCATTGCTTCCTATAGGAATAACTATTATAATAGGGATATCTTGGTGATTATTTTTTTCTTATGAAGTTGCACGCATGTTAAAACATGTTCATTGGGACTCGGGCCTAGCTTAATAGTTGAGCACATTCTTTAGCATGAATGATTACCTGGGTTTACTACCCAGCACCCAAAGTAGAAACAAAAACACAAAAAATGTATTGCCTTGTGTTGACCAACAAGGCTTAGCAGCAAAGGGGTTGTATTGCCAGGCTAAGTTAGTGTCACTCTTCTCTAAAATTGCTTATTGACCTTATATTTGTCACCGGGTCATGCAGAAGAATTTGGACATCAACATTCACCCTGGTTTTTCCTGAAGTCCTCGTTTTGGTCACGACAACAAAAGGCTGATCATGTGATCCTTGAAGATAAAATAGATTCCAATCCTTCATCTAATGACTCTTTTGAACCAGTGTCTCCAGAATTCCAAGGGAAAGAAGCCATCAGGTAACAAGGATGTGAATGGAGTCCAGGCCAAGGTTGGGGAGCTAAGAATTGGCACCTGATACAAGCAGAGTTCTCCCTGGGCTCTGGAGAAGTGACCACGCCACAACACTTGCATCACTTCTCCTTTAAAGAAGTCCCTTACTAGCCCCCTGCAGTGTTGACATCTACATTAAATAAAAACTTAGATTTCACCAGTGAAGACAGGTCAACAAAATTCTTGCTTGGATTCTTGGTCTTTTTGTTCGTTTCTTTCTTTCTCCATCCTTAGCCTCCCTACTTTCTTTGGCAACATTTATTCACACTTTATACACATTGCATTTATGATACTTCTCATTTTTTTGACAGTAAAATGGAATCAAAATAGAAATGAGAAAACCTAATTACATAGTTTAATATGAATAAAACCTGCACTGTCTGATGAACAATAAATGACAAAATAACATACATTTGACTTCACTTTTGGATTCCAGTTATCTGGTAGAATGAAATTGTGCAGATAAAATATCTAGAATTCCAGATCTGTGATAGCACCCAGCACATGTTAACTCCATTCCTTTCCACTGCCACCACCTTCATCATCTCACCAATGTCCTCTTAAGCTTGTTGAATGTTCACCATGAGCCAAGCATTATACATGCAAGATGAAATAGTTTATATAACCTGAAACACAATCCTAAAGCATTCCAAATCCTCAGATTGCAGTTACTAAAACTTACCTGGATCTAGTACCCTGCCTAAAATAACAGAGTAACCAAGTGGTGCAGATGACATGAGTCAGGTGGGTAGCCCTGTGAGACTCCTGCCTCGATGTTGTGTCACACCACCTCTCTTCCTTATGCTACCTTTCAAGGATCCTCTGGAGCCCGAGACTCAAGAGATCACCAACCTGTGCTAGTGGTTCACGCTGACCCTTTTAGTGTTGGGTGCCCACAGCTTCTCTTGCTCTGACTTCCTTAACTTTGCAGTCCAGAGATGGCCCTGTTCTCTATTAATTGATATTAGACCATGGCCCAGTCCAGGGAAAGAGGTCTCAACTGGTTAAGACCCAAGCACAAATTTTTAAAACTCATCATCAGGTGATGCCAATGTCCAGCCAGGACCACAGTATTCTGCAGGATTCTTAAGAATTCTGTCCCACAACCAGGACTGCAAGAGAGTGACTGCTACCTCTCTCTCCATCCTGAAGACCAGTTTCACCTGATTCTGGCAGCCAAACTGGAATTACAGACCAGAGAGAACTGTCACCTTGAAGTAGCTTTTCTTTTTTCTTTCTTTTTTTTTTTTTCAGAATCAGAAATATTACAAAAGAATATAAAGGAAAACCTGAAAAAATAGAAGCTTTGAAAGGTAAAAAAAATTATATTGATGTCAATTCCATGACTTAAATTCATATTATTTTGCTTTTATTGAGCAGTTAATGATAATATCTCAGATTTGAAAAGTTATTTGAACGCTATTATAAATTTTCCCCTCTAACACATCACTTTTACTTTATAAAAGTTAGAAACAGTGGGCATTCTAGAATTACATGTATTTAAAATCTATACTGATGTAACCTATGGATATTTTTTCATACACACTCATTTTTTTCTTCTATAATCCAAAAGCTATTGGTAGATACTTTATTTTTTTTCCTTTTCTAAAAGGGGGGGCACTTACCTATATACCACTTGTTTTAGCTATGTGACACTTTATTATTAATCTATTCTCCCATTCAATAAATACTAGCATCTACCTACCATATGCCAGGCAATTTCAATGAATTTAAAGGTATAAGGCATGTTTCATTCATTTTAATCAAATAACTTAAAAAATTCTAGAAAGGATTTTTGAAAAAATAGTTTTTAAGGGTATTTTTCTTTTGAACTTACAATGTATTCACACTACAAAATACAACCATTCCAGGAAATCAAGTATTAATCCATTGGTTCTGTAGCAGAATGTTATTTGTGATTTTTATTGTTTTCCTTCCTTCCTCCCATCTCTTCTCCCTCCTTCCTTATCTTACCTTCCATTCCTCCTAGACCTGGTATTGGACATTTATGAAGGCCAAATCACTGCAATCCTTGGTCACAGTGGAGCTGGAAAATCAACACTGTTAAATATTCTTAGTGGGTTGTCTGTTCCCACCAAAGGTGAGAGTTCTTCTTTCCAAAGTCAAGTTGACAAAGAAGTAAGCTGCTAATATAAAATCCTCCTGATTGTTAATGATAAACACAGATACCAAAGAAAAAATGGAAATCTATTTGTAATATTATTCCATAAAAGTTTGTGATGTTTAATTACTACATATAGAATGTAAGTATTTTGTGATGATTATTTTCATGGTCATCAGTTTGGCATTCCCATATGTATCTGTCAGTTTTTGCTGCATGACAAATACTCCCAAACTGAATGGCTTAAAATAAAAATTTTTTTTTTCATGACTCTGTGGGTTAACTGAGTGGTTTTTCTCTGTTCTGAACCAAGTGATTGACACTTGGTAATTTAACATGTGCCCCCTCACATATTTGAGGCTTCAGATAGGACAGCTGCACCTCTGTTTTTGCATGGACTTTCATGTTGCAAGAGGCTAGATTGGGATTTTTACCCAATGTTCTTCATGATCCCAGCAACAAAAGAGGACAAGTCACAGGGTGTAGCTATTCATCAGCTCTATGTGTATCACTGTTGCTAAGGCCCCAGTGGGCACCTAGCCAAACCTAATTATAAATGGTAAGAGACTACACTACATCATTAGGAATAAAATCCCAGATGGGAACTCCTTTTACAATTTATAACTGAAATGAAAATTCATAACGCCTAAATTGTATAAAGCTTGAAGATAAAATAGTTTATTGACTAGTGCATTGGTTGTGGTTTTTTTATTTAGAAATACTGTGTTTTACTCATTATCCAGATATTAATGTAGAATCTTTGTAATAGGTTCTGTCACCATCTACAATAATAAACTTTCAGAAATGGATGCCCTAGAAAACATCATCAAGATCACTGGAATTTGTCCACAATCCAATGTGCAGTTTGACTTCCTGACTGTGGAAGAAAACCTCAGGCTATTTGCTAAAATAAGAGGGATTCTGCCACAAGAAGTGGAGCAAGAGGTATATAAATACATTAAAACTCATGTATTGGTCAAAGTGAGATTGCTAATCTTATTTGCTCAGTTTTGTTTTGTTTTTCTCTTTTATTAATTATCTGTGTGTAAGTCGTTGGTAAATGTTGAAGAGGAAAATCCAATTTAAGCAATAGTGAACATTTAGATAATTTAAAATGTGCTGAGCATATCCTTTACTGTAAATGTAAAACTCATTTATTCCTTAGAACGACACTATGAGATAAAGCTGTTATTATTCCCATTTTATGCATGTAGAAACTGAGGTTCAGAGAGAAAGTAACTTGACTGAGATCACACAGCAGCTGAAGATGGATGGGCATTCAAAGCCAGGCAGTTTGGCCACAGGGTCCATGCTTTTAATCATTATGTTTACAGCTTTGCATTTTTAAAAAAGGAAAAAAGAAATGAATCTTAGTATATGACATACAATGTTGTCTTTTGATTAGATACAAAGAGTTTTGCTGGAATTGGAAATACAAAATATTCAGAATGTCCTGGCTCAAAACTTAAGTGGTGGACAGAAAAGAAAACTAACCTTTGGGATTGCCATTTTAGGAGATCCTCAGGTGAGTTCAGCTAAATTTATGGGTGTTTTCAAGTTTTAGAAAGTGAAACTTTTGATGAGAGTTCAAACCTTGTAATTGAAAAAGGACGTGTTTGATAAAATATTTATAATAAAATATTCAAATTGAGAACAAAATCCTAATCACAATACTTTTTAAATACAAATAAAGGATGGGGGATGTAGCTCAGTGGTAGAGTGCTTGCCTGGCATACACGAGGCTCTGGGTTTCACCCTCAGTACTGCAAAAAAGTAAGTAAATAAATACATATAAATAATATGGTCTTTACATTGTTTTCTGGAAAAACTTCACCTTAGGAGAAACACATACACACACACACACACACACACACACACACACTTCTCCTTCACACCTCCCTCCTCTGCAGGTTTTCCTATTAGATGAACCCAGTGCTGGAATGGATCCCTTCTCAAGACACAGAATTTGGAACCTCCTGAAAGAGCGTAGAAGAGACCGTGTGATCCTTTTTACTACTCAGTTCATGGATGAGGCTGACCTCCTGGCAGGTAATTGCTGGTTTGCATGGAATATCCTCATGAGGACATCAGGGTATTTGAGAAATGTGGATTGGTATTCTGGACAGCTCTATTTAATACTGGCAATCTAGCCATCCATGGTAATCTGAACCACTGGGGACGAGATGCAACTGGGCCCAAATCTCCTCACCTCCAGCCATTTCTATGTATCTTGTAAAATTTGTATTATTTGATGATGTAGGAGTGGGCTGTTCCAGGGAAGTAAGTAGAGTCAGTATTCTAAGAGATTAATTGTCTCGGAATAGAGACATATCAACTTGAAATATCCAAAGAATTTTAATGTTTGATCCATCAAAATGTGTTATGTGATGATTCTCTATGATAGACAGTATATCCACAAAGTTGAATCTCCCTGATGAGTTGGTGCAAAGATGACCTAAAATACATAAATTAGATTAAAATAAAGTAGGACTTTATGGAGTCCTTACTAGCTCCGTCTCTGGGCAGCCTATAGACACTCCTTAATTGGAGTTAGATCATACTGCATTTTCTCAAAAAGCAAATGGAATTCATCTATTCCTCCCATGCCCCCCCTCCCTACCCCACTATGAGTCAGTCACTTTTTATCAGAGAAAACATTCGGTATTTGTCTTTTGGGGATGGGCTAACTTCACTTACCATTATCTTCTCCACTCCATCCATTTATCTGCAAATGCCATGATTTTATTCTCTTTTATTGCTGAGTAATATTCCATTGTGTACAAATGCCACCTTTTTTATCTATTCATCTATTGAAGGACATCTAGGTTGGTTCCACAGTTTAGCTATTGTGAATTGTGCTGCTTTAAACATTGATGTGGCTGTGTCCCTGTAGTATGCTGTTTTTAAATCCTTTGGGTATAGACCGAGGAGAGGGAATGCTGGGTCAAATGGTGGTTCCATTCCCAGTTTTCCAAGGAATCTCCATACTGCTTTCCATATTGGCTGCACCAATTTGCAGTCCCACCAGCGATGTACGAGTGTACCTTTCTCCCTACATCCTCACTAACACTTATTGTTGTTTGTCTTCATAATAGCTGCCATTTGACTGGAGTGAGATGATAAACTCTAGGTAGGGCAGAGGGGTGGGAGGGGAAGAGAGGGGGCAGGGGGTTAGCAATGATGGTGGAATGTGATGGACATCATTATCTAAGGTACATGTATGAAGAATTGGTGTGAACATACTTTATATACAACAGAGATATGAAAAATTGTGCTCTATATGCGTAATAAGAATTGTAATGCTTTCCACTGTCTTGTATTTAAAAAATAAAATCAATTAAAAAAAGGAATTTTTAAAAAAACTGCCTATCAAACTCTCTTCTTTGATTCTTCCTTTTCAGATAGGAAAGTGTTTCTCTCCAAAGGGAAACTGAAGTGTGCGGGTTCTTCATTGTTTCTGAAGAAAAAGTGGGGGATCGGTTATCACCTGAGGTAGGGCCACCAGGGAAGGTTCTTTTGGTAAAAGAGAGGCTTGATGGTGATGGAAACAAACATGCCAAGAAGACTTGTATTCATTATACCCAAGTGCTTGCACACTCACATGCACATATCTGTGCAGAGCTATTGATACAGAAATCATGTGTGTGTGAGAGTTGACGACTTTGGAGACACTTGAGATTGAGAATATAAGATGGCAACAGAAGTTTAGATAAATGTGTGTTAGGAAATATATTCAGAATGCATGATCTATGGAAACATGTATTAAGGGAACTTTTTCACTGATATATTCTTTCATACCCTAATCATCTCTCACCCAAGGTGTTAATATAATTTCCTACTTGCTTCCAATTCCTTTGATGCTTCCTCCTTTTTCTTGACCTTCTCCTTTCCATTCTTCTCAATTATTAGTGTTTTGAATAGTAGCATGTGAGAGCTGTTATTTATTTGAATGATACTTAACATTATTTTATTTCAATCTTTTATTTTTGAGATGGGAATCATCATTACTTTTACTTTACAGATAAAATTATATACTCTCTATGTGTCTTAGACTAACTATTTTGTGCTGCTAGAACAAAGTATCTGAGACTGGGTAATTTATAAAGAATAAACATTTATTTCCTACAGTTCTGGAGGCTGGGAAGTCCAAGGTTGAGGGACCACACTTGACACAGGCCTTCTTGCTTCATCATCCCATGGTAAAAGGAGAAAGGGCAAGAGATCACACACAGGGCAGGGTAGGGGGTAAATTCATCATTTTATCAGGAATCCATTCCCACAATAACTAACCCACCTCTATGATAACGGCATGAATCCATTCATGAAGAGAGAGCCTCATGACCTAATCACCTCTCAAAGCTTCCACATCTCAACACCATTGCACTGGGATTATTTCCAGCCCGTGAACTTTGAGAGTCACGTTCAAACCATAACACTACATTGTTGTGTGGTAGAGCCATGAATTGATTCTCAATATGTTTAGCTTCAAATCTAGTGTCCAAGACCATGTTTTAATTTTTAAATTAATTGGTTAGTTCTGATTTATATCATTTATACTTAAAAAAGAAAATAAAGATAAAATGACAAAACATAACAAACAAACTTCAGAAATTTTACCTACCAGAATCCAAACCATGTAGCCAAATAATGCTGGTGTGACTCGTCTGTCATGACTCCCATACTATGTACCCTGACCCAATTCAACACCCTTTAGTTAAAGTGAAATAGTCATTGCTCCTTATGCATGTCCTACCATGATCTACACTTTTTTTTTTGAGGCTATATGTTGAACCCATTTCCACCTGTTTAAGTCCTAAAGAGTTATATGGATAATATCTCATGCACACTTTGATAATCTTCCTGTTTAGTGTGATGTCCCAATTTTGTTTTTAATTCCCTGAAGCATTTGGTTTGTATCTTTTCTTAGAAGTTATGTAAACTTTTTGAAACTCAGTTTTCTAACTTATAATCTGGGAGTAATAACTCCTGGTTGTAAGTAAAGGTTATAGAAAAATAAATGAGATGTTGCTTAGAATTTTGTGTAATATTGAGGATATACCATGCTCTCAAAATAAAGGTGCTAGTCAGATTCCCTGCCCAATTCATGACTCTTTCAATGGGCCTCTGGACAGTAATTTGCATAATTGCTTCATGTTCTTCTTCAAAGCCTGAGGTTAACAAATTATGGCCCCATGAGCCAAATTCAGCCCCCTTCCTGTTTTTGTAAATAAAGTTTTGATTGGGCCCAGGCTTGCAATTCTCTTGCATACTGCCTACAGAGCTCCTGAGACACAACAGAGAGTTGAAACACATGACTAGACTTTTCAGGCAATGTCTAAACTATTTGCTACCCAGCCATTTTCAGAAAAAGTTTGCCAAGCCTGCCTTCCGACCTTCTGACGGATAAGCTCCTGAGGAAAGACACTGTGTACCACTTACAAAGTCCTCCAGAACACCCAGCTCAAGTTCTCATAAGGGGCCAGGAAATGTTTATAGCTTGTTTTATTTCATGGCAAATTCCCTCAGTGGATTTCACTGCTTCTAGGAATAATACATATTCTTATAAGTTCACGCATGCCTTATGAGTAAATGGAATAATTCTGACTGAAGCATTTAGCTCAATAAAACAGCATCCATTTTTAAGGGCTAAGTGTTAGCATCCCTATTTTTCAGTTCTTAGCAACCTTAGATGTTAGAAATCATTATTCTATTTTACTAATGAGGAAACAGCTGAGATAGGTTAAATTAGATTTTTCAAATGGCAAAAACTAAGATTCAAAGTAAAATCATGACATATTGTTATCTATTATATACTTACTAACCTTGATTGTTCAATTTTTATTTCCTATAATGGGAAAATAGTATGGTGTGTTTGAATGGCTAGACTTCTCAATGATATTTTGTTCTTATTCAAAGTTTTGGGGTTGACAAGAGAAAAAAAGCTAAAATTGGGGATCCCAGCTCCCCAAGCCCACATTCATCCATAATTAGTTTCTATCTATACCCAGTTTCCTTCATAGCATTTACTACTATTGATAATTAGTTTACTTATCTGTTTGTTTTCTTCCTGTCTCCCTGACTAGATAATTTCATAAGTGCTGGCTAATGTTGTCTTATTCACCTTGTACCCTGAGCACTTAGTGGGGTGATGTTTATCACATACTAAGAAATTTGCATTGAATGATTAACTCAATAACTGTACCTGTTTGGCATCTATGACTATCAAAAGTCTCTTGTTCTTTCAAACCAGTACGATAATCCTATTTAGCTAACTTAAACTTCCTTGGTTAAACATAATTGTCAACATTATCCATCTTGCTTAGTCCTGATCTTTGCTGCATTCCTAGTATTTCTACCATGTAGTTATTCTCCACTTAAGGACCTGAATCACTATTGATCTTCTCCGGGCACCATCCCTCAGTAATATGACCAGTAATTCTATTTAGCTTCATCTTTGCTTTCCCACATTACATTTATATGATTGGGATCTTTGTCCTCTTATTTAATGTTTTCATGTCCTGTTTTTTTGCATTAGATATTAGCTGGTTTTCTTTGTCCTATAGGAATTAGACCTGATTTTCATGTTATTGGAGACTATGTCAAAAAACATACCTTTTTTTTTTTTTAACGCCAGTTTGCAGTTGAATGAACTATGTGCTCGGGAAAAGATAACATCCCTTGTTAAACAGCACATCCCTGATGCCAAATTATCAGCAGAAAGTGAAGGAAAGCTTGTCTATACACTACCCTTAGAAACAACCCATAGTTTTCCAGGTAATGTTTATAGAAACATGAAATTAGTATATAAATAATATTCATAATAAAAATAATGGTAACTTTTATAACTAACATTCATTGAGAACTTATGATGTTGTTCAGATATTTAAATGTAATCAAATCAATAGTCAAATAACAACTGCCTATAGTGGGAAATATTATTATATTCTGATACTAATTCTTGTTCATTTTAGAGAGCTTCTTTTAATTTTGTTCCCCTGGTGGTATATAGCAGAACATTCTAGTAATCATAACTGTACATGAACACAAATGGTTGAAACCTCTAGCTTAACTATGTTAATTAGCCCCATGATATAACTATTTCTCTTGGCCAGGCCGTTGTGGTAACTTTGAGCTTTCCAGGCTAATGGACAGACGTTTACTAATTCTGTTTATCCTTCTGTTCCATGACCATGAAGGCTGACATTTAGTGGCTGGATCAATTAGCCTTGCCATACGTGTGGTTAACAAAGACACATAATTATTCCATAAAGTCACTTAAATATACATTTTATAACATAAATATTCCTTAGAAGCATTCAGCAAAGTGTTTGTAGACTGCTAATTAGTGTATTGTAAGAGTAATTAAAATATAGGGAAAGTTTGTAATAGTTTTAGGTAGAATGAAGAATAACACATGGTACTTGTTGGCAGTTCAAATCTCCTTTCTACCTTTCCATGTAAGATATTCCAGCTGAGACTGGACGCTTCTAACATCCTCCTGTCACTGGACTCTCCAGAATGAAGCCTCGGATCTTCTATAATCACTCTAGTCTTAGAATTGGGTTTTTACTTAAGCTTAATTACCCACTAAAATTCAAATCCATGCAGGCAGGGACATTGCTCTTGGCTTATGAACAATGATTGATGCCATAGTATTTTTAGGTAAATGAACTAAAGAAGGAACGGATACAAAAATTGCCAGAGGGAATCTCTGCTATCATACTTTCCTACTAGCCCAAGAAATTCTAAGTCGATTCTTCATTCTCTATTAGAACTTGGGAATTATTTTTCAGAAACAGAAACTAATTTTAAAATGACTTAGATCCTCCGTCTGTCCTTTGACAGGTGCTTTGAGAACTGAAGAAGATTTTGAACCATCTACCTAATTCTCAAAAAATATATTTTTTCTCTTCTGTTGGTAACAGCATGAATGTTTCCCATTTGTATCTGTTATCTGGGGGAAAAAAATCTTTAAGTAAAAAAGTTTAGCATTGAGAAGTCCAAAATTTCATAATTAACTAAATCAGAAAAATCTAGAATGACGTTACAATAGAAATATAAATGAATATAAACTAATATTTGACCATAAGAGTAATATTTGGGTGAAATAGAAAATACATGGATTGAAGAATAAGATTATTTATTATGAAATGTTAATTTTAAAAATCTTAGACAAATGTTAAGCATAACTTCATATAATTTCTTTATTTAATTTGGAAAGATGTCCTTAGTTTGCTCATGGCTTTTGCTGTTTTGATTCACTGCTCTGTTTGTTTTCTTTAGAACTTTACACAGATCTTGATAGCAATCCTGGCCTAGGAATTGAGAATTATGGTGTTTCTATGACAACTTTGAATGAAGTGTTCCTGAAGCTAGAAGGAAAATCAGTGCTCGATGAATCAGGTAAATAAAATGCATGAAAATTTTGTGTGAAAATACTCAAGCAGTGCAGTTCATAGCTCGAGAAGACCCTGTTCCAAAGATGGGATTGCGAAAACGTTGGTTTCCATGACTAACGCATTTCTCAGATAAGCTTATGCAAAGATGAGCTGTGTCCTCTGTCAATATTGCCTTGACTGATTGCACAGCTCCTTTTCCTGTATCCAAGGGTCATTGCCCTCCTCACATCCCAAGATCAATTTCAGACAGAACCTTCTTATCTTCCTGTCTGCACACTCTGTGCATCGTTCTGCTGTGTGCTGGCCTCCAGGGTTTCTGAGAAGTCAGCTCTTAAACTTATTGAGGATGTCTGGTTATAATGAGCCATTTTCTCTTGCTGCTTTCAATATTCTCTTTTCTGACTAGCTTTGGACAGCTTGTTCATGTCTTTAGAGCTTTACATTTATCCTACATGGGGTAGGTTGGGCATCTTGGTGTTTTAGTCAGCTTTTTTTTTTGCTTTTGTGACTGAAAGACCCAACCAGAACAACTGTAGAGGAGAAAGATTTATTTAAGGGCTCACAGTTTCAGAGGTCTCAGTGCATCAGTGGCTGGCTCCATTCTTCAGGACTCAAGGTATGGCAGAGGGAACCAGTTCACATAATAATCAGAAAGCAGAGAGAGAGAGGCCTCCACTTGCCAGACACAAATATATACATTATAACCACACACCCAGTGAACCTCTTCCTCCAGCCACACCTCACCTGCCTCCAGTCACCACTCAGTGAATCCCATCAGGGATCAATCCACTGATTAGGTTAAGGCTATAACGCAATCATTTCTCCTCCAAACCTTGCATTGTCTCACACATAAGCTTTTGGGGGACTCCTCCACATCTAATAACACTAGGATATGGAAATTAGTGTTTTTCATCCAATTGGGGAAGTTTTTAGCCTCATTTCTTTCCTTCCTCTCCTCTCCTTCGGACACTGCCATTGTTTATTGGTGACTAGGTAACATCCTACATTTCTCTGGGACTCTTCATTTTCTTTGTTCCTTTTACTTTATGTTCCTTACCCTGACTAATCTCAATTTTTCTTCTGTCATGTTCACCGATTGTTCTATTTGCCGAAATATATTAAGTTCTGCCGGTGAATTTTTTACTTTCAGTTGGTACAATTTTCAACTCTAAAAATTTTATTGGGATCTCTTTTATAATGTTTGAATCTTTAATGATGTGTTCAATTTGATGAGATGAGGTTGTCATACATGGTCACTTTAAAAAGCCCTGCACCTATTCCCTTTTCTCTATTTTACTGATCTTCCTGTTTATGCTTTTTATAAAATTAGTGTCCTGTAGATGCACATAATGTGAGATTCACTGTAGTATCCTCACATATGTACCTTGGAAAGTCAAGTCAAATTCATTCTACTGTTTTACCTTTATCCTGTCCCTCCTCCCTCCCCCCATCCCCTTCTTCTACATCCCTGATCTTTCTTTTATTTCTTATTACTTTTAATGTGATTATTGCTATGGTTATTTTATATCTATCATATTGGTCCCTTCTAGTCTTTGCTTTTTTATTCTTTCCTGCCATGATTTTTTATTAGTAGTAAATAACTTGCTTCTTTATTTCCTTTTTAGCTGTGGGGTTTTTTGGTGTGTTATTTTTCATGATCACTAGAAAAATTTATTTGTATACTATACTCCAGCGTTGCTATACTGGTTCACACAAAATACAACTACCTCTAAATGAACACACTTATCTCCTCCCTTTTCCTTTTTGATATTTCCTATCATGCATTGTAATTATATGTGCTTCTCAGTTATTATTATTAAACTCTCACCCAAGTCACATACACTTATATATCTGTAAATCAGTATCTTTATCTGTAGAGCTACAGATAGATGATTGATTGATAGAAATGAGTCAGAGAGAGAGAGAGAGAGAATATAACCGATTTTAATGTTCTCTTTTGTTTGCCCATACATTATATCTCTATTGGGCTCCTAACTCTTCCCGCCTGATATTTTATCTAGTATAATTTATGATCAGCTTAAACAGCACCTTCTATCAGTTCTTATTTGGGACTTTTGAATTCTTTGGATCTGTGGGTGCAATTTATACTGAGCAAAAAATAATTCTTAGACATCTGGTGCTGCCCCACAGGCATTAGATTCCCCAGTTAGGTTTTCCAATCTTTGTTTTTCTTTGTGTTAGAAATTGGACAATGTCTAAAAAATAAAAAGGAAAGTAATTGGACAATGTCAGTTTGCCTGTCTTCAAAATCACAGCTGTCTTCTGTTCAGACTGTTCTGAAGCCCAACTATTAAACTCTCTATTCCTGATACTATATCTTTCAACAGAATGTTTCCATTTGTTCATATTTTAACAGTTTCAGATTCTCTACTGAACTTACTTATTGGCTCACTGATATCCTTCATATTTTCAAGTGGATCTTGGAATAAATCATAAATATTTTTAAACCCATGTGTGTTAAACCCAACATTTGGACCACAATCACTGATGACCCACATCAGTAATGATTTTGACTCTTCTTCTCTTCCCTCTCGGTCACATTTTCTGCTTCTTCTCATTTCTTATATTTTTTCTTATATCATTGACATATTAAAAAAAATAATAACACAACAAAACAGTAAAGACTGAAGAAAGCAATGATCAGAAAATGAGTTGACTCTTTTTTCTGTTAGGATGCTGATACAGATCACTAGATTGACCTGATCTGTATTTGGCAAGTCTGTGGACTTTTGGACAGCTTTTCCTCCTTTCCCACTTCCACATGATTTGAAGGTCAAATCAAATCTTTCCCTTCGGCATGACCTTGAGTTACAGCATTGGTGCTAAACTCTTCAGATCTCTCTGTGACCTACAGACCTACAGGAATCTCTGAGTTAGTGTGGGTGAGAGTGAAATTGAATCACATGGCTGCAAACACACAGGTGAGGCTTTTGCTGGGAATTAGGAGAAAGGAAGCAGAGCCAGAATGCAGTGTGGAAATCCGGATTGTGGGGCTGGCTCCTGATAAAGGGAGAGGCTGAGTGTTATTCATGGGAAAGGGTTGCTTGCAGGGGTGGTTAGAGTTTAGCCGTATTAATTGCCTTTGGGTGCCTTCTAAAGGTGTTTTTCCTTGTCCTGGAGCCAAAATCACCTCTCTCCTAATGATGCTGCGTTTGCCTGTGGTAAGGATGAGTCCCTGTAGCTTTTAAGAGAAGACAAATCACGCAAATAACAGGTTCAGGGCCCGGGAACTTCCTACTTTGGTGTCTCCTCAGCGGTTTTGTCCTTTGGGTTGTTTATCACTGGCTTTGCTGATGCACCTGGTTTTTGAAGCTAAAAATGTTTAAGGGTGAGTGAGCAAGGCATATACCAAGCTTTTGGAATCTGACAACCTCCAAGTTAGGGTAGGGAAGTAGGGAAAAGCACACATCCTCTTTTTTTGTTTGTTTGTTTTTCTTCACTTTTTTTTTATTGCTGCAGTATAGTTGTATATATTGATAGAATTAATTGTTACATATTTGTAAATGTACACAGAAGAATATAATTTAGCCAATGTTATGGTTCAGCCTTTCACCCCTCAATTTTGAATCTATAAAATATTGCCCAGTTAAAGAAAAAGATATCTCTACGAAATTTTTCTAGCCATTTGGTGATTTTATGTTTTATATTGCACTCATTGATATTTTTGAAATTTTGGAGAAGTGAGATAGTTAAAAAAAATCTTGATCATTCTATTCTTAGAAGTTGTTATCATTTTTGTAATTAATTAAAACGATAAAACTCATTTTGGGGACATTTTTAATCTAAAAACTGAGTTTATTTTACCATATGATCTCTTCTTTCATGCCACAACAAACTCATATATGCTATAGTTTTACATGATTAGCAAGACAGGAGATTTATTTATATCAGTATTAACACAAACATGAGAATTATACATTGAACAATTAATTTTATAAGGATGAATATGATGTATTTAGATGATGGGAATTTTTCACCTCCATCATAATCTTGAGGTACCAGCATCATATATCCATCCACCATTGGCAGAAATGTGCATAATTGTATTTTATATAGTGCATAATTGTATTTTACCCTTGTTGGTATTAGCTATATATCTCTCACAACAACAAAATCTCCTAACAATCTGTCTTTCAGAATGTAGTCCCATCATTTAACAATGATGACTGCATACATATGTTTTCAAGTGTTTAAATATGAATAAAACCAAAAAATTCCAAATAATGAACTAAATTTAAAATGCATAGGATACACATCCTCTTTTTTTTTTTTTTTTTTTAAGAGAGAAGAGAGGGAGAGAGAGAATTTATTTATTTATTTATTTTAGTTCTCGGCGGACACAACATCTTTGTTGGTATGTGGTGCTGAGGATCGAACCCGGGCCGCACGCATGCCAGGCGAGCGCGCTACCGCTTGAGCCACATCTCTAGCCCTACACCTTCTCTTTTTAATGGCTGTTAGGCTATGAAGCTCCAAGAGTGCATCTGCCCTTTTTCAGAACAGGGGTCCTGACTGTTCTCAGCCCCACCACCACCACCAAATCCCCCAGCAGCAGAAATTTCCTTGACTTTGTGCCTGCCACCCTATTTTATTGCAGTTTTAAAATTTATTGGTTTATTTGACCACTGGGAACTGAGCCCTCCTCTTCACTTAAATCAAACTTTGCCCCAGCTCTCCCTCCACCTTACCACCCTCTACGCAGACTTCAACATGGCCACTGAAGTGGCCAGTGCTGTACCCAGCAGAGGCCCATGGGTCCTCAGTTACCCCTTCCGTGGGCTGGCTCTGGGTGGATGCTGTAATTCACACAGAGAGGCCCCACTTGCCTTCATGATGTCTTGCAGGAGGCCCTGGGCACCTCCATGTGGCTCTCTCTCTTTTTCCTTCTGCCCCAACCTCTGGTGCACTGTTCGCATGCACTTGGTGAAGGGCCTCCTTGGGAAAGAATTGGTAGAGAGTGTGGACTCATTTTGTGACTTGGGCACCACCACGTGATTCTAGATGGGTATGGTAGCCCACATGTGACCATAAGGGTCTAGATGGGTATGGTAGCCCACATGTGACCATAAGGGTCTAGATGGGTACGGTAGCCCACATGTGACCATAAGGGTTTGTTTCTTCCTGCTGTTGGCCCTTTGTCCATGCCTTTGGTGGGCTCCCCTTCTGCCCTGTCCCTAGGGATGAATGCAGACACAGGAATCTTCTCCCTTATGAATGGAATAGCTTCTCTTTTAATGAAAGTTAATCTTTTTAGTTTTCATGATGCCCTCATCTGTTAATGGATTAAAAATGACAAATATCTATTATTTAAAACTATTCTTTTAATGTGCTTCTCACCGCTATCTTGTTCAAAATCTTTATGTCAGAGTGTGAATTTTTCTGTGCATTTCTGGGGCTTTGAGTCAGGCTTATTTTAGCATTGTACAGTGGGCAGCATCCTGGGGACCTAGAGATAGCAGAGAATGTGCAAAGGGCAGAAGAGTGCAGCCTCAAACACTGTGCACATTTTAAATCTCTCCAGTAATGACGATTTATAATTGACCCCCAGGCAGATAACTTATCATTCATAATTCACTCCCTGTGTGTAGCATGTCAATCTGTAGCTTGCTTCTCTAAGTGAACACACAGAAGATGGCTTTCTTTACTAAATTTGCAAATTACACTAGGCACTAAAAAGACCTTGCATTTTTAATCTCATCTCTCGAATGTACAGTGCACATTCAAATTATCTAAGAGCTTCTTTCCACTCCTCTTTCTGTTCAAAAAACAAACCTTATAAATATTTTCCTAGCTCAAGGCAGCAGCCAGGAAGGCTGTGTCTACAGGAAAAGACTTGAACTACCATCAAACAAGATCATGCTGTGGGCTCAATATTACACATCTGAAGTGGGATTTAATAAATTGCTTCTTTTGTGGTTTGCAGGTATCAACATTCTAGGAGAAGCACAAGGGGAAAGAACTGGGGACACAGAAAGACTTGTTGAGATGGAACAAATTCTCTCCTCACTTATGGAGATGAGAAAGACAGTAGAAGGCATGGCTCTCTGGGGTCGACAGATCTGTGCAATTGCAAAGGTTCGTTTGCTAAAGTTGAAGCATGAAAGAAAAGCTCTTCTATCACTGTAAGTATCAGAGTGCCACAGAGTTTTCCCTTTAGCTGATGTATAGGAAAATAACTAAGGGGTAAAAATAAGAGGAACTTTTTTTTTTAATTCCCTGTGTCTACAAAACTGGAAAAAGTATTATATTTATTTAGTCAGTGGTCCTAGTGGTTTTCTATTAGGGGACTAACAGGTCCAGAGACAATTCTAGAGGAAAAGTTGGAATGCTGTGAACTTCCCTGTAATATTTCTTCTCACCCAAATTCTGCACTATGAAAGGTGGCAGCCGTGTTAGGAAGTGGTCCTCTTTCCCAGGACCTATCTTAGTGGTTATCCTACTCATTCTTCCCTAGATATCGAGATTTCCCCTCCAGTCGGTATAAGTAGTTCACTCTCCTTCCCGACTCTATGCACGGAAGACACAGTCCCTGCTCCCAAACTCACATCATCTCCTTTTGTACCTTAACACCCATCTTACCTCGGCGGTCAGTCAAAATACAATGAACACTGTATTTTGCTTTAGGAATAAGGAGGTCAGTAGCCTGCCACACAATTGAATCTCAGTAAATTTTTGCTAAAGAAATAAGTAATGAGAATTTGAGCAAGACTTAAGAATAAACCTTCCCCATTAAACTGGAAACACTACATACAGGTCTAGAGAGAGTGAAGTGTAAAGAGATGCCCGTCATTTTGCTGACTTCAGACAAAATGTAATTATAAATTAAGGATGGGGAAAGGTTTTGAAGAAACAGAATGGCCGTATAAGAAGATATTTTCATTTATCTGAATGGAAAATGTAGGAAAATAAAGACTAAACTATAATTAAAGATTTGAGCCTGGAAACTAAAGAAATCACATCACTCCCAAGTATAAGAAGAGGAGTGGACATGAAGAAAGTCATGGGCGAGGTGTTGAGCAATGGCTGGCAGAGGGCAGAGCATCGCTCTGGAGCATGGGAGGCAGGCAGGATCTGAGCATGAGGGACAGGACACATCCCACAGAGGGGTATGGGCTGCCCAAAGGCCAGAGCAAGGAAAGGGACAGGATAAATCTACAGTTTCTTCCCTCCAATTTAGGAGGAAAAAGGACAAAATACTCAAGAAATGAGGCAGAGAGCTGTGTTTAATTTTCACAATTTCTTGACCTCAGTACATTGCAATCTGCTCAGACCCTTCTAAAAATTAGGAAACGATCGTGCATTGACTCACATTGGCAGTTTTATCCCAAACAGGTTGTTGATTCTGGTGGTTGGATTTTTCCCTCTTTTTTTGGAGTATATCTTGGTGAAAGTTCATCAAAACAGTTACACTTTGGAATTGTCTCCTCATCTGTACTTCCTGGCTCCTGGACAACAGCCACAGGACCCTCTCACTCGATTATTGATCATCAATAACACAGGTAATGATGTGTTTCAAATGTAGTATGGATCCATGGATTAATACTTTATTCTTAAACTGTTAAATAATATTCTGTAGGAGGGAGACACCACATTTTATTAGTCACCCATCACAGATGGATAATTTTCCCCATTAATTAGTTACATAAATATTGCTTTTAAAAATGTTAATCTGTACATTCTTTGTGTGAACATAAGTATTCATTTTTTTTGGGGGGGGGGTCATCCTAGTACTACAATTGTTGGGTTACAAGATGATGTAACTTTAAGGATGTCCAAACTATTTTTCAAAGTGAAAAACTTTATATTCACACCAGGGTTCTAATTTCCGCATAGGCTTGCTGACACTCATTGTTTCCTGTCTTTTTATTCCACCCATCACAGAGTGTCTAGCAATACTCTGTGGATTGTATCAGTGTTTTGCTAAGGCTCCTGGTGTTGAACATCTCTTCGTGTGCTTACTGACCTGTTCAGAAAGAGTTCTTACCAAATTTTAGCAGATTTGCTTGAATAAATATTTCTTCATTTTCTATATACCCTTGGGACAGTTTCCAGAGATTTTTTACCAGTTGGGTTTTTCTTTTTAGTAATTTTTATAGTTATTAATGTCATTCTTCTGGAGGAGAGGGCTGTAGAGTCTTTCATATAATCACCATTCAACAGGTTGCTTTCCTGTTATCAAGAGGCATTTTGAAATCCAGTTAATAATCTTATTTATTAGTAATAAATAAATTAATTAATTAATCTTATTCAGTAGTAAAGTGAGCTTTAGTAAATTTGATGGTTAATTAATTAGTAGGAATTATCTGTCACTAAAACCTCCATTCCAAGATTCTAGGAGAAAACAAAAACAATCTCAAAACTCAATTGGTATTTTTAAAGATTTGTGCATTATCTAAGCAAATACTTATACAAAGTGAACTCCTTGAGAAATGCATAGATTCTTCATTCACAGAAGCAGGCATGTTACAGTCCATGTTACATTAAGTGACATTAAAAGACATTATAACATAACTATACAAATTGACATTAATTTTTTTAAGTTTGTAAATATCTGTTAAATTACATCTCAGGGGAGAGCATTGATGAGTTTGTCCATGCCTTGGAGCGCCAGAGCATAGCTGTGGAAGTAGATGCAACTGGAACTAGAAATGGTGTAGATGAACCTTCTTATAATGGAGCCATAACAGTATTTCGTAATGAAAAGGTATGCTGGTCTACATTTAGTAATTTTACCAAAGGTGTGGGAAGCTAACATAACATGAATGTACTCCAGTCTCTAATTTAAGAAGCAAAAATGAAAAACAAGTACTGTTTCATTTATTACTTGGCAAATTGCATTCCTTGGTATAAAACATGATAAATTTATATATCTATCACTATTTACCAATACAAACTGTGTATATTAGTAACATTCATAGTGTAAAAATACCCCTTGTCAAGTGTACATTTATGTGAAAGAATCTGTAGTTTCTCTCAAGGGGCTTTCTAATACATAAATCTGGAACTTCTGATTCATTCTTAAACAATAAACACCCAAAACCTGATTCTATCCTTAAGCAAGACACTAGTGTCCTGAAAATCAAATGCATGGTTTGTTTGTTTGTTTGTTTACTATATACATGTTTTCTTTTGTACTAGTATTTGTTTTTATTTCCACAGTGTTTTTTGCTTACAAAGTGTTTGTGAATTTTAAAAAATTATTTTGCATCACATTAAAAACATAATCTTGGGGCTGAAAATGTGACTGAGTGGTAGAGTGTTTGTCTAGTATGTGTGAGGCTCTGGGCTCTATCCCCAGCACTGAGAAAAAAAAAAAAAAACCAAAATTTTGAAAAGTGATCTCAAATGAAAGTATTAAATTTTGGCTTCTATGGAGGAAAAAAACCACAAAGATCTTTGCTAATTCATAAACTTGTCTGTGTTTTAGAAATATGACTTTTTAATTGCGTGCAATACCAAAAGACTGAATTGTTTCCCGGTTCTCATGGATATTATTAGTAACGGGCTACTTGGAATGCTTACACCATCAGCACATATTCAAACTGAGTGGAGCACAGTTTTGAGGGTGAGTATAACTCTTATGGACTCTCCTCCCAGATCGTGCTTTTCAGAGCTGGCATCTAATTCTTGGTGAGTGAACCACACTGTTACACATTAACATTTGGATTCATGCTGTTTCTGCAGCTCTGGAAAATTCAATCCACTTTTTTAGAGTTTCAAATGTTTTTAAAATGCAAAGTAGAACTAACAAGACATTTTCCAAAGAAAAAAGATGAAACCACAAAAAAAAAAAAAAGTGAAATTGTGTGGCACTGTGACTAGCAAAAAAAAAAAATTAATGAACCAGAAAAATGAAGGAGATACCAGAGGAAAGCAGACAGGATGGCCGGCAGGAAAGGAGAAAGAGTGACGTTTTCACAACTTTAAGAATTCAGGACAAAGTTAAGCCTGGAATTGCACACTGTTGATGTTAGAACTAGGCCAGGTTCTTGTCCAAAGTATTCATTCTTTTGGCCTTCCTTAGACCTACCAGGTGAGCTTTCCCAAATACGGGATGAAAAAATTCCTGTTTCTAAACAAAGGCCCAGGAGACTGGAATGCACACAGCCCATTAAGTTGGGAAAACAGAGTAACTATGATAGCTTATAATGATTTGTTTACTACATAAATAATTTCACCCCTTTGGAGATACAGGGATCGTGTATTTCTTAAACACATGTGTATCAATATCTTGTACCTAGGAAATGGTGTAGAACATAATAAGCACTAAATAACTTATTTGTTAAAGACACAAATGGAGCAAGTGGTCCTCAAATTGTTTCCATCTCACACAACTCTAGAGTTTTATGATAACATAGATGGACATTGATCCTTTACCCATTTTTATATAGAATGAACCACATATCCATCATTATTTTCATATGCTCAACAAAAAATTTTGTGTCACCTTCTCATACCATCTCATTAAGTGCTCAGGAAATAAAGATGTCTTTCATTAAGGGTGCTTAAGGAATTTAAAAATTAAAGCCAAAGGTTTTAGTCACACATGGAGCATTAGTTAATTTTAGAATGTGTGCTGTGATGGTTCATTTAACCTTTAATGACTGCGAAGGTCTTCTCAACTTTCTTAAAGCAGGATACCATAATTTAGTAAATTCCCTCTCTAGGGGAATCCTATTTTAACTAGAATGAGTCTAATACCAGCTGGCTAGTTCATCTTGTATTTATAGATTTACTTTATCTCCAGCAACTCGTTTTATTGGGTGTTCAAATTTACCTTCTCGTTGCCCCCAAAGCAGGAGCTACCTGGAGTTTCAGACTGCCATGCCCCTGTCCCACCCAGAGTCAATGGTTTCACACTGAAGCCTGAAGGGGCCCACACTCTGTGTGCACCAGGAGCATGACAGTAAAGTCACTCTCATGATTGATTTTGTGGTTAGCAAGAGTCTTTCTGAGGCCCCAGCTGAAGATAACTGGGATGTGGTTATTACCCCCTTCCGTCAAGTGCTCACACAACAACTGTGAGTCATGAGACCAACATGCACTGACTTGTAAGACAGGTTGCAATTATTCCATCCTTAAAGAGGGTCACGATCAGGAACAGCAATAAATTTTCTCCCATGCTTTCGCTCTCCCTTCTCGTTTTCTTCACCTCTACTTGTGAATCCTCACCCAAGATTGATCTGGTCTCGAAATGTTTACTGGGATGACTTCTCACTAGCTGAGGAGTATGGTATTTGATTTAGGTAGGCTCTCACATTCTAAATAAGACCTATTAGAAAATTCCAAGTGTTGACTCTGAATTATCACTTATTACTTAGCATCAGAATAAAGTTTAGAATGCTAAGGTAAGGAGAGGGTTAAGGAGAGGGTTGCTGCTACTACTTTCCAACTGTGGGATGTGATTAACGTGTGCATGTTCTTTGAATTGATTTCCTTACCTATAAATTTGAGTATAAAGTCAAAAGATTAAAAGTGAAGCTTCAAAGCTAGAATAATAATGAAAGGACAGAGAATCTCAATAGGAACCTGCAGCAGGATTCCATAAAATTGATTAATGTTTTGAAATTTTATTGCAGAAAATGAACTTAGAAATCCCTACTTCAGTTCACTGTGCTCTTTGCTTTTCCAGAGAATATGGGATAATCCATTTGAAATCCTGGGATACACCTTATTCTGGCTGGTTTTGGCATCTACCTGCCCTCCTTACATTGCCATGAGCAGCATTGATGATTACAAGGTAACAATGAGTAATGAAATTTTCCACTAAATTGTTTAATTCAAAGATAATGGTAATATAAGATTTTCCATGAAGATACTTATGCATATATAATTGAGCATTCAATTCAGGCATAAATTCTACTGAATTAAAATAACAGGAAGTTTCATAAGTGGAAATATAAGTATATATAAATAAATGGAAAATAGAGAATGATTCTAAAATTTCTAAAGATTGTAATACAAAGAACCTTGAATAGACAAAATAACTTTGGAAAAGAAAAAAACAAAAGTTAGAACATTTGAGTTTCTGACTTTTAAGTCTCATTACAAAGTTACAGTCATTAAGAACAGGTTGTGTTAATTAAGAATAATCTCACAGGTATCTGAAATGGAATAATCATTTCAAACATAAATGCACAAATATAATATCATTGGCTGATTTCAGTAAAACTGCCCAGAAGCTCAACTTAGGCTGTTACTTTCTAGGGGTGTTGGGTTTATTGTCTCCGTTTAGCAAAGAATTGAAGAACAGGACACAGAGAGAGCAAGCAAGCAGCAGGTTTATTGCAAAAGCTACAGAGACAGACTTCTGCAGGGAGAAGGGGCCCCTGAGCCAGGAGTCCAGTGGGGGAGATTTGGGTTGTTCTTTCTATGGTCTCTGGAATTTCCTCCTTGTCTCCTCCCCTGTCCACATGCCCCTCGCTGTCATTCATTGGTGCTCCCTCTGTCTATGTGTCTGTTTTAGTTTTTCTATTGGATCCCATGCTTAGGGACACAAGTACAGAAGTGTCTGTCTAATTGGGTCCCCCGATTGCGTCCACATGCACTTTTGTCAAGCAGGAAGTTGGCCTCCTTGGAAGACCCTCTCCATGTTCCTTTGTTCTGGCCCTGGCCCAGACCTCCTTACTCATCTTCTTGTCCTGGCTGCTTAAGCCGGTCCCTATCTCCCTCAGGGTTAAAGCTAGACTTTTTAGCAAATTGGGATGGGACAGCTTGATACCATTATGGAAAAAAAAAAAAAGTGATCTTAGCACAAACCTCACACCAGACACAAAATTAATTTGCAATGAATCATAGACCTTGGGGTAGGCAAATATTTCTTAGATGAGAAAGAGGTACTATAGACTATAAAAGGAAAAAAATATTTACTCTTGAACTTCATCAAAGTAAAAGTAGCTTCTTCTCCTTGTATAAACACCAATAAGAAAAAAAAAAAAAAGGCAAGTCACAGGTTGATAGAAAAATGTCCACACTATTTATGTATCTGACAAAACTAGTTTTATCAAAACTACATAATGAACTCATACCTCATTAGTGAACATAAGTCAATTTTAAAAATGGGCAAAATATTTAGACAGATATTTCACCAAAGACAGACAGATGGAAAATAGTGCCATGAAATGATAGCTAAAACCATGAGTAATGAGAAAGTTACCCCAACAAGATACTCCTACATAACATGAATATTGTTGAAATGACTGGCAAAATCAAGTTTTTGAGGAGTGGTGAAACTAGTACCTCTCACGCACAGGTGGTGACCATCACTTTGCAAAGCAATTTGACTGTTTCTTGTAAAGTTAAAAATACACCTCCTGCTGCAACTCCACAACTCTTCTCCTGAGTATTCAAGAAATAAAAGCCAGGTGTGTTGGTGCACATCTGTAATCCCAGAGCTTGGGAGACTGAAGCAGGAGAATCACAAGTTCAAAGCCAGACTCAGCAACTTAGTGAGATCCTGTCTCAAAATAAAATATCAAAGGGGCTAGGAGGATGTGGCTCAGTGGCTAAGAGCTCCTGGGTTCAATCCCCCAGTACTGGAAAAAAAAAGAAAAAAGAAAAAGAAAAGAAAAGAAAATCACATTGACTTGAACAGAAGCTTTATTCATACTAGTCAACAACTTTAAAAAATACAACTGTTCCATCAAGATGTGAACTGGTAAATTCTGGTATGGCCATATGATAGAATATTACTCAGCAATGTAAAAGAAGAGAAAATAATAAATCCATTGGTGTGGAGGAATCTCAGAACCAAGAATGAAGACAGATGCAAAAGAGAAAATACTAAAGGATTTCATTTAAGTGAAATTCTCAGGTAAAACTAACCTATAGTGACTAAAGACATGTTTGTGGGTTTTTTGTTTGGTTGGTTGGTTTTTGCTTTGTTCGGGTTTTTTTTTTTTTTTTTGTAAGCAGTAGTAAAGGCTTTTGAAAGGAGCACAAGAAATTTGGGAGAACAGTGGAAATGCTCCAGGCCTTGATGGTTGTGGTGAATGAATATATGCATTCATCAAGCCTCATGCAGCTGCATATTTATTATGGGTACTTATTCTTGTTTAAAAACTATACTTCAAAAAAGTTAACTGGAAAGTCAGTGTTGAAGTAGGAGAAAATGACACATTGGAAAAGTCAGAATGTAGAAAGTTAAACTCCAGTGTTGAGCTGACAATTTGTAAATTCTGATTCACAGTTTTTCATTCACCCAAATGAATGGCTTATGTGTCTACAAATCACCCGAGCATCCTGCTAAAATGAAGATTCTGATTCAGTAGTCAAGTCTTGAAGGGCAGTCATAGGGTGGCACGTTTAAATGACCATCTCAGGCTAACGCTCATTAGTTTAGTCACAGATTGCCATAGAATATATTTTAACATTCCATTTTTGTTACTCTATTATATAAAATCCATGAGACCTTGCAGAAATATCCCTGTTTCCTCTCCTTCCTCTGTTTCACTTCCTGCCTCTCCCAAACTAGTTCTGTTGCCCAGGAAAAGAGAACACACCCCATGTACTATTCCCTTTCAAGGGTAGAATCTGCAGGAATCCTAAGAGATGCTGTTCCCAGGTGTGAGAGAGCAGTCAGTCACTCTGGAGTTAATGTTGTCCAGACTTTAAGACTTCTCCTAAGGAAACCGCCAGAACGAATTTTCTTTGGCTATACCACAATTTCACCGTCTTTATCCTAAGACCTTGTCTGTCATTTCTCTGTTTCTTCGGAGGTTTTACCCCTCTGTATAAGTTGGGAAATCCTCAGCTCTCAGCTTGGGGCATCCTTCTCATGATCAATGCTATTGTCTCCCAGCTAAGCTCATCTACCACTAGGGTTTCGAATCCTCCCTCTCTGCTGCTCACTCACAGATTGGACTCCATGAACATCTCTAATTTGACCTCTATTTTGACCTTCAATGTGACTCTAGATTCCCTCTCAGCATTTCCTTTGTAAGTATCAGAGAAGTCTCAAATTTCATGCTTGCAAAACTGAATTTGGGATTTTCCTAAACACATCACCCCTTCCTATTTTCTGTGTTCTTCAACAGAAGTACCAGGTGCTCTGTCACCCTCCCAGCAACCCAAGTTGATCCTTCCTTCCTCTCCTCCCAGTGTATCTAGTCAATCACCAAGTCCTGACCCCTTCTCCCACCTGAATGGACCTGTGTGATGTTGGGAGACTTTGATATGAATTTTCAGGTCACATTACAAATTAGTTAGGAGCATCACTTAACTAATCAGAGCCCACCAACACCTGAATCTAGATGTTTTTTAAAATGAAAAAAAAAATGATTCCATATTACTAGAATAGTTCAATGTATAAGTGTGCTAAAATCACATCAATTGACATGTAGTTTTAAAATAAATAATTTTATGTGTTTTTTCAGAGAATGACCAGAGATTACATTTATATTTATGATTCTCTTTTATGAACATATACATACATATTTGGATAGGTAGTGAGTATGTGAATGTGGACTATGACAGAACCACCCTAACTTCTTTTATTCAGATGAAAGCATAAAGCAATTATATACCTATAATTCCATGTGACATATGCGATCATATACTTCTATATGAAATATATAAAGTATATAAAATACAATACTATATTTAATGGTGTACAGCATGCATACTATATTTAATGGTATATAGCATGCATACTATACACAATGTATAATTAAAATATATTTAATTATGTATGATATGTAACAATACTAATAATATGTGATAATTAACATGGTGATAGCTTAATAATATTAATTACATAACTTATACCTAATATATGATATAAGAATTTTATAAACTTTATAATTAATACAATGTCCACAGTAATTATATATTTATACTGAAATTATATATTGCTGTATACATTATGTTACAAAAAAATCATATATGTATTATATACTACTAGGTATAATGTATAATTAACATACTAATACTATTATATATTACATGGGAATGTCTTATATGGTATATGTAATTAATCAAGCCACATTTAATTATGAATGTTTTCTGGGGTGTTTGAAAACTGTGGTAGTTTAATACTGCATCCTACCTAGTATTACCTACACAGAACTTCACAGAGGGACAGAACAGGAGACCCTGGTGGGAAGCAAGCGGCTGAGACAGGTGGACTCGCCTCCCCCTCCCCTCTGAGCCACGAGGTCACCCACCGTCCACGCAGCCCTCCAGCCTCGGTTATTCTGAGGTCTTTGTCGTGTTCCATATTAGTGTCCTTCATTAAAGCAGCAGTTGGACATTGGCGTCCACAAATAACCCGCACCCTTCAGTCCAGAGCTATGATCCAGAGCCACCACAAATCAGGGTTTTGTTTCAACAGTCTCCAACTTGGCCCGCAGTATCTGAAGACTCAGCTGAAAGGTCCTCTCGTGTCTTTGCTCTCTCGTAACCAGAACAGCGTGAGGTCGCTGCTGCGGATCTCGGGCCTCTTTCCTTCCGCCTACTGGCTCGGGCAGGCGCTGGTGGACTGGCCGCTGTACTGCCTGTTTTTCCTTTTCATGTATTTAATGGATTACGTCTTGAACTCCCAAGAGACTGTATTTACGCTTGTGAATTATTTCATTCAAGTAAGTGACGATATCCATGAAGCAAATGGCATTTTTATTTAATTAGGGGATTTGACTATTCAATCTCTTTTATTGGTAGCATGTTGTCATAAATTCAGTGACTGTCAAATCCTGTGCCATAACAATGTTGGGGAGACTAAATATCCTCCGAGATTGCACTTGTGTTTGATTTCACATTCCTGTTGATTTCAGATGCTGTGTGCTATTGGGTATGCCATGTCCCTTATCTTCTTGACATATGTGATTTCATTCACCTTTCGCAAGGGGAAAAAAAATAGTGGTATTTGGTCATTTTGCTTCTATGTTGTAAGTATGTTTTTTGAGAACACTTATGTATTTAGCCTATGATTTGAATTAATATTTTTAATTTTACCCTCAGTAGAATAATAAATTAATATCGAAGTCTAAAATAGTTCACATTTTCCTCACATGTGGATTCTTTTCAAAATCTGCATCTTTCCCCCATCCCATTTCCATTCTTGTCTTTCTTTAAAGGTGACCATATTGTTTCTAGAATTTTAAGTTTTGAGCTAAAAGGAAGTCTGGAGACTATCTACATCTTTGTTTTACTGCAAAACAAGAAAATCCAAAGCCCTTCACAAACTTAAGCAATTACACATTCCACTACTAGCATAGTTAAAACTAGAATGTACTTTCTCCAAACTGCCTAAGAAAAAATTAATTCCACAAAACCACACTTCTTTTGTCTAAATTAGGAGGGAAACTTTGTGTAACATGTGAGTAATATAATTTAACTGTAACTTCAGGATACAAAAAGTAACTTATTACTTCAATAAGTACCTACTGACTTCCACCACAGTGTGTCACAAATGAAGACTAATAATAGGAAAAAAAGAGATATTAAATAGATAAGTTTCATCCTGAAAGAGTTCTCAGAGGAAAGGCAGATAATAAATAGCCACTTATTAAAACTGGGTGGTAAGAAAAGATTGCCTGCAGAGTTATATTCTGTCTTAAAAGTCTGTTATACAATGGAGTGATAAGATGCTTGTAGAAACCAGAGAAGGGTGTTACCTATGAAAATGAAAGCAGAGATTTTCTTTAGAAAGTGAAACCTAGCTGGGCATGTTAGCACACCTCTGTAATCCCAGCGGCTCAAGAGGCTGAGGCAGGAGGATCACAAGTTTGAGGCCAGCCTCAGCAACTTAGTGAGGCCCTAAGCAACTTAGCAAGATGCCATCTCAAAATAAATAAATTAATTAATTAATTAATTAAAAGGTCTGAGGATGTGGCTCAGTGGTTAAGTGACCCTGAGATCAAATTCTCAGTCCTCCCCACACCCCCCCCATAAGAAAGTGAAACCTCAAGAAGAGCAAGATTTCAACACATAGAGGGAAGCAGAGGGATGCCTGTAGTGGATAATGGGTGAGCAGACCTGCAGGAGAGAAGCCAAGCTTGTCCTAGGAATGGCTCACCACCTGTGAGGCTGTGCATGGAACTCAAGTGGGAGGACAGGGGGTCCTCATCATGGTGTATCAATTTGCACATGGCTAGCCTTAAAGAATGTGCTCAGGAATTTATTCTCTAGGCTGTTAGAAGCCATGGGTGCCTTTAACACAAAGAAAAAGAAAAATATTCTCACAGCCACAAAAAATGATGGTCTGTGAGACAAGGAAATCAGAAGCGCTAAAGGTTTAAGAAGCCCTTGCAAGGTTTTAGAGGAGACGGATCCAGGGCTTGGGATGTTCCTGTGACTTTCTCTTGTCCCTGAATTTTGTGTTTTACACGTCTGCCTAAGCCACTCCGGGTTGGTGAATGCTTACCTTTCTGCACTGAGAGAGTCACCAGAAGTCTCCTTCCATTGTTGATGGTGTTGTTCCTGTTAAAATATCAATTTCAATTTTTCCCTATGTTTATTGCTCATTGACTGAGTTTTATCCCCAAGAAGCACTACATGCCAACTTTTTATTGCTTTTCTGTAATGAAAATATTCTGCATATTGGGCTCTAAGTTTATCCAGTCATATCTTATTCATGATGCTCTAGGCCCAAGGAATTAATTTATGTCACTCAGAGAAAATGTTAGTGGAGATGTGTGTTGATTTCACTTTGGGTCATGAGGTTGGAGTTAAAATTCAGAATGCAATACCTTTAAGATGAGCTGCTCCTCGATTTGGAACATACATTGAGATTCAGAGAGATTAACAAGCATATCTGTGTTTTCCCCAGGTCACCGTATCCTCTGTGCTTATATGTGTGTTGGAAAACTCTGAAAGTGTTCCACTATTTTTCGTCACTTTTTTAGTACCACAAGCCACACTGATTGGCTGTCTGTTCTTATATTTTCATGTGAGTAATGCCCCTGTCTGACCCAGTGTGAGAAACACATGACCAGCTGTGAAGGCTGAGTCTGTGTTGGGGTTCTGCAACAAGCAGATCATGCACGAAGCTTAAAATTTTCCACCTCGTAGATTCCAGTGATTTTCTCTTTATGGGACAGTGTGTTCCAACTGACCTGTAATAGAAAATGTGGCCCTGGTTAAGAGGCCAGGAGGAAGGGGATGAGTGTTGGAAAGAGAGCAGCCTTCACGGTCATTCTCTCGGGCATGCTCAGCTTTAGAAGCAAGTGAGTCAAGTGCCCCTAACCTCTGAGCCTTCAGGATTCTAGAGAAGCATCCAATATGAATACAGTCCCTTTTCCTCTGGCCAGCTGCTACAAAAGGGAGAGAGGAAGGTGCAAGAGTGAAGAGGTACAATGGGAAGGGAACAGAAGGGCAGGGACACACCATGAGAGGAACAGTGGGCATAGAAAGGCACAGTGTGGCCTCTGTCCTGGGAAGCTGGCTCAGATCCCCCAGATTCCCTCACCAGGCCATCAGGGATGGATACATTCTATTGCTTAAAACAAAAGCTCAGGGACCCTAGGAGGAAGGAGGTCAGGCCTCACTAGACCATTTAGGATGGACACTTGCCTGACACTCCTTGGAAAATCAGAGAAAATGCTAGCAGGGCTGTTTGGGGGTGATTCAAATTGATGAGGATAAGATGCATGCAATGAAAAACTTCCTTTTTAACGGTTTTATTTCCTCTTGCAGCTTTTCATGTTTACTGTCTTCGATGATGAACAACATACTAGAGAACTATTTCTGGTCTTTCTAATTGTAAGAGCACACTCTTCCTTTGTAATTATTGTGCTTTTTCCTGTACGCAACAATCTCAATTCTTAAACACACTCTGAAGTGTTTGTTTGTTTGTTTGTTTTTTAATTAAAGCAGAGATACAATATCTGTGGTCTATGGAGATTTAATGTTTATAAAATCTGGGAAAGTTATTTTACAAGGATGAACTGAGAAGATAATGTACTTCTAAATTTTGAGAATACCTAGACTGAAATGATGTAGCAATATCACATAATTGTAATTGTTTCTGGTGATTTTGTAAATAAGATTGAAAATTAATATGATAGCATCCTGATTTACCTACTAGCTATTGGAAATTTGTAATGCTTTCCCTAAATACATTTGTGTAAAGTCCACTAACTCCTAGTTCATCAATGATACTTAAACCATGATCTTTTTGTGTTTCTAATTGTTCTTTTCTCTCTTTATTCCCAGCCCTTCCTTCATGTTATCATTTTTCTTTTTATTCTCCGATGTCTGGAATGGAAATTTGGAAAGAAACCCATGGGAAAGGATCCCTTCTTTAGGTTGGAAGAAATCAAATGGATTCTTTTCTTTCATTGATCAATGTTTTAAGATATTTCTCTTGTATGTGAAGCAATCAGTTCACAAAGACATGCCTTGTGCTAGGCTGGGATGGGGTAGGAACAACGTACCAGTACAAATAAAGAGACTTCAGATACCTAATCCAAAGATTGCAATCCAGGGCAGGAAACAGACCTGAAATATTAGATACAAAAATCTCCAGGCTGGGACTGGGGGCCCACACGGGGAATCCCAGCTACTGGGAATGCCAAGGCCAGAGGCTTGTAAGTTTGAGGCCAGCTTGTGTAATTTAGAAAGACCCTGACTGTCTCAAAATTTAAAAGCAAATAAATAAAAAGGTCCACGGATATAGCTCAGTGGTAGAACACACCTGGGTTCAATCTCCAGTACTGAGGGTGGGTGGGAGGCTCTATCCAACACTGTCCTGTGGAGCACCCGCAAAAAGGTAAGTCTGGCTGGTTCCATTTAAGGAACAATTGATCTGAATAGCTTGGTGGTTGGAGGAATGCTATCCATCCAGGGAGAGGAAATAGCGTGGCCAAGAGGCCAACGACATGAGTTAGTGAGCAGTCAGATGGTGGACCACAGACTGGTTCAGGTATAGATGGGACTTGGAGGCAGTGACTTCTGTGAACCATTCAGTGATGCTACCGTGACCCTCTGTGTCTCCTGTACCATTTAGGTCTCATCTTTCACTAGTACAGAGAGTCAGAGAGTGACTGCCAACAGGGAAATCAAGGGAAGAGAGAGACCAGAAACAGACGAGTTCTGAATGTGACAGGCCAGACTTAGGATGGCGAGAAAGAATAAACATGCATGGATTCCAAAGAAATGGCCAGGCTTCAATGATGGACCAAGCATCTAATTTATATTTGCTGAACCAGTCCTGATTCTAAAGAATCTGGCTCATTTTCCCCATGAGAACATAATACCAATGTGTTGCTGTCAGAGCTAAAATTCTCAGAAAAATTGCTTCGTGGAGCTATGATATAAAAATTCTTTGTCAGATAATGGGCTTCAGTTACCCCCCTGAAATAGAAAAACATATTATTTCTCTAGGTATGTAGAATGCAAGCTACCTGAGACGAGAGGGTCGCTCGGGGCAGTCCTGCTGTTAACAGAAGCAGGGAGCTTACGAAGGAGTTAGAGCTCACTGCACCCAAGGGAGGTGATGGTGGTCTGTTAACTGTGCAGCCTCCTCAAGCATAAGTTTGAAAGAATGCAGTGTTCTTAATACCAGGAAGAAGGCCAGAAGTCAATTGTTAACGGATGTGTTCAACTCTAGAATTTCTCCAAAAAGTGGTGATGTGTGTCAAAATCCAGAAGAACCCCAGGAGGAGGATGAAGACGTTCAGATGGAAAGACTGAGAACGGCTGATGCCTTGAATTCCACAGACTTTAATGAGGTAAAACATGTCAAGTGGCTCTTTCATCACAGTATATGTATGCTCGGTGATGTATGCATCCACCAGTTCTCAAACCACTTGATTTTCTTTCAGCCTTACATGAGGATGGCTTCTTTAATAGGTTGTCGCCATTTTCCCATCTAATGGGCAGATGGAAAGTCAAGTTAGCCTTCTGTGTGTTTCTTAGAGTATATATGAAGCCAAGTGCAATTGAAATGAGGAAAGCCAGGAGAGGCTTTCAGAAACCTGAAGAAGCAATGCACACATCCCTACCTGTTGGAGAAAGTGCACGGTACAAAATTCAGAGTCAGATCCCAGCCAGGGCACACAGTGTTGTCCTTTGAGGCTGAGACAGTCAAGTGCTTTTCCAGTTCCCTATGCTCCTGCTCCAAGGAGTCGGGCAGGCTGTATGAAATAATGTGCTCCTGAGTAGCAGCTTTTGTAGGAGAGAAAAATGACACTGTCTCCTCTCCAAAAGTAAGTGCGAGTCTAGGAGAACGACCAATACGCCCATCCCCTACTAGCAGAAGGACGTCTCTGACGCCAGGCCTGGGTGGCAAAGGGTCAAAGCAACAGGGAGAGAGCTGGTGCTGTTAGTGGAGAGAACAGAGGTCTGACACGACTCACTTGACCTTCACAGAAGCCAGTCATTGTCGCCAGCTGTCTGCGCAAGGAGTACCCGGGAAAGAAGAAGCATTGCTTCTCTAAGAGGAAGAGCAAAGTAGCCACCAGGAATGTCTCATTCTGTGTCAGGAAAGGTTGGACACTTCCCCAGGGGTGGCTCCTTAGAGCTCCGAGGTTCCTGGGGAGAAGGGCTTAGGCACCATGTCTGAGTTCCCTTGCAGGTCGTGAAGGTGGCCTCGACAGCTCTTTTCACATGTCTCACTCCTAAGTTAAATTAATTCGCTTGCCCCATGATTCGGGGCACAGTCATGTCTACGTTGAGCCTGTTCAAGGGACCCACTGGAGCCAGGATGTTGTTCTGGAATAAACACAGTTGGTTTCCTAGTGGTCATGATTTTTCACAGGAGAACGGGCTGGGGAGGCTCCAGCATCTTCTGGAATCTCAACCAAGAGGTGGTCGATGGCCTCAATTTGTGTCATTGTCTCACAGTGGTTAGGATCACAAGAGACAGACTCTGACACTCCTGGCTTCCAAGAGTGGCTCTGCCTCTTCCCATCAATGTGACATTGGGCACATAACCTCATTTTTGAGAGTTTTTGTCCCCCAAATACATAAGAAGAGATTATGATAATTTCTCAGGATGGTTGTGATAATGAAATGAGATACTACCTACAAAACACATGGCAAATATTAGTCACATAGTCAGACTTTAGATTATTATTCTTAATTTTACCATTACAATTAAATCACATTGTCACCACTTTTTTTTTTTTTCCAGGTGAAGTTTTAGGGTTGTTAGGACACAACGGAGCTGGTAAAAGTACATCCATTAAGGTGATAACTGGAGACACGAAATCAACTGCTGGCCAGGTAGGTGAATTATATGGGACATATGTCATCGAGTGGTGCTCGGAATAAGTTTGTATTGATTTTATAAACAGCAAGGTGCCACTCAGTCATTACATGATAGACCAATATGTAGAATGTAGCACATATAGAAGAATATTTCAAACGTTGGCACAGAGCTACACTCAAAACTGAAGTCCTGAAAGGGAGTGATTATCCATGATGTCAAAGGCAGTAAGAATTTTCTGCATCAGATCAGAAATCAAAAATCCATGAGCATCATCATCTTTCCAATATGTAATATTTTGATCTTGAGTTAAATTGCTTTAAAAAACCCCCAAAATATTTACTGGTTATCATCATTGTCCTTCTGAAAGCACTTTGTTCCTGAAATATGTTCTTTTTTTATGAAAACACACTGTTTCTTGGAATGTTCTTAGTGAATGGTGACAAATGAGCCACAGGGATGTGAAGTGGACTGGTACTTCAATCTCATCTACTGAAGTGGCCGGGCAAGCTCAGGTTTATCAAAGGGAGAGACATCATGGGGTAGAAATAAAACTCTTCTCTGAGATTCTCTGGCAGAATCTTGAAAACTCCTTTGGGAAAGAATGTCCAAGGGGAGCACAGGACCAAATATAAAGGAGGAGGTCTGTGGAATTGCCCCATGGAAAGGGGTGGGTGGTCAAGCCCAGAGGGAACGCACAGCCAGGAGTACTACTGACAAGTAGCCTACTAAGAGGAGAGAACACAGGTGTTCACCAGCCTCAGACACCACCGCCACTGCCTAGTGAGAGCAAGTGTTCATCAAGGGGACCTTTGAGTAAACGTTGGTGAGTCAGCAAACCCTAACTGGACTCCCTGCTTCTGTAGTGACTCCACCTCAGTCACCACCTGGACCCAAAGTCAACATTTAATTTCTCATTAAGCGTTCGAGTCAAGGAGACATAACTGCTCCTTGATTATATTGGGACAAAATGTTTTAAAACCCAAGTAAGGTCTGAAATACAAAGTCAGCTATTGGCACGTCCAGAAATGAGCTGAATGGGATCAACCAGCGGGATGTTCTCGGCCATGTCATTCTCTTGCTAACCCTGCTCTGGGACTGGCAAGTCACCTCCCCCTTGTCTTATGGGTGGTGGCAGGAGTGGACTGCCATGTCCTTCTGCTACACCTCTGTCCCTCTCGCCTTGCTCGCTCTGCTGCAAGACTGCTGCCTCTGCCTCGGGTCCAAGAACAACTTCATGCCTTCATGGGACTTTGCTCTCAGCCTTTGCTCTGCTTCAGATCCCCTGGCCCCAGCCTCATCTGTGACTAGCACCTTCTCTTCTGCTGAAATGACCCCTTCAGCAGACAGGTTCCCTGAACATCCACACCAAAGTCCCTTCCCCTGTTCTTCTCCACCTGGGCTTATAAATGTCCACCCCAGCACCCCTTCTGGCCTGTCTTGGTTCTGTCCACTCACTTCTCCATTGCCTGATCCACTCGATAGACTGAAAACTCCAAACCACAGGGCACTCATTACCCCACGGTCCATTGTCCTGGTGGTCAGCACAGCATTCATTATGTAGGAGGCACCCAGAGAGATTTCATCCATGAGCAAAGCTAAAGAGTGGGTCATTAAATTAAGGGGCTTTATTCAGTCAGTGTTGAAAACATTGGCCATCACTGGGGACCACGATGGCAGGGCGACCACACTTGTGGGATCCTCCATGTTCAACTCGGATTACAACGCTGGCTGCACACATGTTGATTTACAGGCACTGACCTTGACAAGCTTTCTCCCATGCACATGATCACAGATCATCAAACTCCAGGTAGCCCTGCAGCCTACCTAGGTTGGTGAAGAGAAGGCTGCAGTAGAGGGACTCTGAGAAGTACTGCCGAATGCAGGCTCTGAGTCGGACCCTTTATGCACAGGTGCTACTCCAAGGGAGCAGCGGAGGGGACGCCCCCGGGTTCCTGGGGTACTGTCCTCAGGAGAATGTGCTGTGGCCCAACCTGACCGTGAGGGAGCACCTGGAGGTGTTTGCCACCGTGAAGGGGCTGAGCAGAGGTGATGCTGAGCTCGCCATTGCAAGGTACACGGGGCGCCTGCAGCTTCTGTGTCAGGGAGGGGAGAAGACTGGAGTGACAGCATCCACGGGAAACTCAGGACGGGGGGGCTGTAAACACCCACCCGGGTCATGCTGGGTGGATGCCCACCTGGAAACTGGTTTACTCAGATTTCCAAACATTGTTGTTGTTTTTTTTTCTCTCTCTTATTAAATGAGGAGAGAAAATTCATTAGTAAACTTTATCCAAAAGACTGCAATTTAAGCGATGGAACAATAATTTGGATATCTTTCAAAAGAGCACTGTCTTTGTGGGTGGGGATCCGACCAGAGGGTGATATGCACTCCCCTCCCCCACCACTTGGCCTCTGAGCTCTGCTCCCCACCTGGCCCTCCCAGCCTCCCCTCCCCTCAGCTGGCCTTGGGGAGCAGACTGAGGCTCTGCTGGGTTCCTTCAGGTTGGTGGATGCGTTCAAGCTGCAGGACCAGCTGAAGGCTGCCGTGAAGACCTTGTCAGCCGGAATAAAGAGAAAGGTATGGGACAGGGCTCAGGTGGCTCTGTGCGCCCTGCAGACAGGTGCAGGACAGACTGCCCCTCTCGTTCCAGCTGTGCTTCATGCTGAGCATCCTGGGGAGCCCGTCAGTGATGCTTCTGGATGAGCCATCCACCGGAATGGACCCCGAGGGGCAGCAGCAGATGTGGTGAGGAGCATTACCCCCCATGGGGCCTGGTACAGACCACCTGGCAGGGAGTGTGTGAACTGTTTTCCTCCTTTACAAATTGTCTCTTAAATTGTTCAATGTAAATGTCTATATCTATATCTATATCTATCTATATATACACACACACACACACACACACACACATATCAATTTCCTTAGTAAAACCAATATTTGACCAAAAAAGTTTCCCTGATAACATTTCACAATCATTTTTCATTGAAGGAAGAATAAGCATCAATAGGGCTTGAAGGAGCTCACTCTGGGTACTACAGTGGCTCAGTACCTGTCTTAGGTTAGCATGGACGTTTCTGCACCACTCCCGTGGTGGTACCCAGAACTTGTGTGAGAACAGTAGTCCTCCTTACATTGGGACTGTTCATCTTGTTGTGTCTATTTACTGTGCATGCATTTTCTTCCCACCAGGTTGAGACCACACTGTTGATGATTGTGTCCTTCTGTTCTCCACGCAGCCTTTCTTCCTGAGCATTTCTCTCTCAATGCAGCCTTGTCATGACAATGCTCTCTGTAAACACCCCTCTCCAACGCACCTTCCTCACCTTCTGGTTGAGCAGCTCTCACCTGGCTCGCCTTGCCCATCCTCCCCATCTTCTTGAGTCCTCCCTTGCTTAATCTCTTGTGCTAACTATTCCCAGTGAAGATTTCTTTTTTTTTCTATCTATTGATGACTAATAAAAAAAGATTTGCTAAATTACAAATATTCTCTTGATAATACAGGCAGGCAATCCAGGCCATCATTAGGAACACAGAGAGGGGCGCCATCTTGACCACCCATTACATGGCGGAGGCAGAGGCAGTGTGTGACCGTGTGGCCATCATGGTGTCTGGAAGGCTGAGGTGAGAGCCTATCATGAGGCCACAGTTGACCACGAGGTGCATGTCTGAAGGTCTTTCCTGTGGACTGGGAGAGATCACTATGATCAGCCAGTGAGGCTGCACCTAGGCTTAACATGAGGACCTTGGGATCGGCCAGCAGCAAACCAAGGGTCTTAAACATTGCACCATACGCCTTTTCTTCCTTCCTCTTATGACGTCATGCTCCTCTGACCTCTAGGTGTATTGGCTCCATCCAACACCTAAAAAGCAAATTTGGCAAAGATTACCTGTTGGAGATGAAGGTGAAGACCCTCGCACAGATGGAGGCCCTCCATGCAGAAATCCTGAGGCTTTTCCCCCGGGCTGCTCGGCAGGAAAGGTAAAGATGGTTCCAAATGTCCTCTTTGCCCTGTCAGTTACATCGATTTGTAAAGGAAATGTCAAAGAAAGATTATTCACTGGACACTGTAGGAAGTAAGTCAGAGAAGAGAGAGTTGGTGTAAAAGCCTCGGCCACTATCCATATGCCAGATACTATCCATGTCTCTGGTCATCTTCTTGAATCCTTGCAGAGATTTTCAAAGTAGATAACTGTTATTCCAAAGAAAAGGAGATAATTTCAAAAGTTTTATGAGAGTCTGGTGTTTCATAGATGAATTATTATCTGTATAAAGAGGGAAAAATTTGATGGGGAGACAGATTAGGTGCCATGACTAAGCTAACAAGTGACACAACCAAGATGTCAATCTAATTGTTTGTTTCAAAGCTATTAATACTTTGAATTTTATATGGATTTGCATACTGGCACCATTCTGATGAAAATTAATATAGCCAAAGTCAAAGATTAACTTTAGGTCATTTTTCACACTTCAAATTTCCTGCAGAGGAGAAATTATCTAGGAGTTAGGAGAGAAAAAGGAAAATGAAGAGGAGTAAGTCATAATGACAAGGCAGAAAAATATGTTTCTACAGTGGAGTATAAATATAAAAGTAATGCTATAACTCAATGTGTACCTGTGACTGCGTGGAACTCTATCACAGAGGTCCAGGGAATGAGTCGAAAAGATGAGAATAGATACCCTATAACCATATGAAATGCTATCCTACCAAATAAAATCTAAATATAAGATTTTCAAATGCTAGAGAGACAAACATTTATCTGAAAAATAGAGTATTTAAAATTACTATTGCTGGCATTATTTACAGAAGTCCTGATCTTCCAATCAGAAGCTCAATGATATTACTGTCCAGTGGGAAGACAGTGTGAGCCTGGTGGGGGAGAAGAGGTGTGGAGGTCCTGCAAGATACACCTAGATTTTACCCTTGTTGGAGAACTTGAAGAGTTGACAGTTTCAGAACGTAATTTAAGGAGGAAGACAAGGATCAGGTGTTCAGCTTAGAAAGTTAGGTGGGAGGTGATTCTGCAAAATCTAGGAAGAACATCTGCTCCGTATAAGCTCACTTCCATGCAAGATGCCAAGGACACAGATCTGTCTTACTCTCCCTCCCTGCAGCTATTCCTCTTTGGGAACCACCCCACTGGTTAGAGATTCAGCCTAGACTTTTCATTCACACCAAGGACACTCTACTGAAATAAAGACCCAGATACCAAACGATAGTAATCAAAACTCAGTGATACAAATATAAAGACAGAAGTACAGACCAATGGGAGAGAACAGAGAGCCCAGAAAGAGATCCATGCCAACATGGTCAGTTGGGCTTCAACAAACGGGCCAGGAATACACTGTGGGAAAAGGACAGTCTCTTCATCAAATAGTTTTGGGGAAACCAGATATTCACGTGCAGAAGAATAGAATTGGACCCCATTTTGCACTATACATGAAAATCAATTTAAGTGAAAACCCTATGATATTGGTCTTGGGGATGTGTTCATGGATAGGACACCAGAAGTGTTGACAACGAGAGCAAAAATAAACAAGTGGGGTTTCCACAAACTAAAAAGATCCTGTACATCCAAGGAAATAATCCACCGTGAAAAGGCAGCCCGCAGGGCAGAGGACTATTTGCAAACTATGTATCTGATTGATAAGGGGTTAGCATCCAAAATCTATAAGAAAGTCCTATACTGGAATAACAAAATAATAACAATCTGATTTTAAAATAGGCTAATGACTCAAATGGACCTTTCTCCAAAGAAGACGCACTACATGTGTATGAAAAAAGCATTCAATGTCACTTATAATTAGGGAAATGCTAATCAAAATCACAATGAGAGGTCACCTCACACCTGTTGGAATAGTTACTATTGAAACAAAATAAAAAGACAACTATTGGCAAAGATGTGGTGAAATTGGAACACTAGCACACTATTGGTGCAAATG